TTTTAATCTGAAGAAGGTCATTTTCAGTGGTTTCGGGAAAGTACTTAGACTCTTTAACTGTTTCTATCGTTCTTTAATTAGTTTGTTTGTTTTTCATAGGTTCAATATCCACTGTTAGTTTAATGTGTTCCTTTTGGTTCCTTGGCTAATGCGCCATTCACTGCTTCCTCAGTCTTGACCGGTCTCCTGCTTCCTGCTTTAAAGAAACATTTCTGTGATGCTGCCACCACCATATGTCACCGTAAGGATAGTTTGAACTAGGGGTGTGCGATATGACGATATCAGATCGTGAAGGATTACAATATGTCCACGATACGCCATCACAGGGAGATTGTTGGATCGTGTTACAATCATAGCATACCATCATGCCTCGCTTTTCCCTCCCATTTTTCACAAGGGGAAGCCATGAATGAAAACACTGGCGAAGAGTTAGTCCCCCCCCAAAAAAGTCAACATCAGTAATATGAAACTGGTTTGGATTTTCCCAAACTGACGTGACACAAACCGTGGTGATTTGCAAAGTTTGCACAGAGAAGATTCTCACATTGGACAGCAACACAACAACTTTAACTTTTTTAACCATTTAAAGCAACAACATCCCAAACAGTACGCAGAAAGTCAAGCACTGAGGAGGTCCGCTACACTGCAGCCAGCAGAGGCTAACATTAACGTTATAGCAAGACCAAAACAAACAACGGTAACACAAGCATTTGAGAAAGGCGCTCCATATGAGAAGACAAGTAAACGATGGAAAGAGGTAACAGAAGCAGTAACAATTAATCCAGCAAAGGATATGGTTCCTATCAAAACTGTGGAAAACGAGGGGTTCAAAGACTCCTCAAAGTAGTTGATTCGTGGTATGAGTTACCCAGCCGCAAATTCTTTTCCAACACCGCCATTCCACCAATGTACACTGAATGTCGTGCCAAGATGAAAAACAAAGTTCAAAATGTCATTTTTTTTCAACAACAGGTGATGCTGGCTGTTATGCAGATTGCACTTTACCTGATTGGTCGTGTTGTTTACCTTTTAAAACCAATGTTAATTTTTTGACAAAATTGCACACACAGATTAAAATCTGTTCAAAAAGGTACTTTTTCATTTCGTTCTGTTATTCTTTTTTCTTTTAGTGCTATATTTTTAAATGGGGAGATTAGTTTGGTTGTATTGTTTAGTAACTTGCAAAATGGTATTAAAAACCAACATGAAAAAGAATCGTAATAAAATCATGAACGTGATCCTGCAAAAAAAAAAAATCGTGAAATGATATTTTTGCCATATTGCCCACCCCTAGTATGAACCTAGTTATAAGCGGTGTTGTAAAGGTCCTAAGAAGAACTCTGAAACTGATATAGGGCCTGTGCATTTTGTGAAGTTTCTTTAAACTTTTACATTTTTAACATCATAGGTGGAGCTCAGGTATTAAAAAAATTACAAGAAAAATGTATCAAATGGGCCCTTAAAATAATTTCCTCAAAGACACAGATGAACGAACCTCATCATATCTAAAAATCTAAAAGAGCCACCTCAAAAACTAACTCATCTCAAAACAATACATCACTGTAGCAGAAATGTCTGGAATCTTCCACAAACACACTTTCTCAGCATTCAAGTTTACATTTTAAGTTTATCTACATAGCACTTTTCATGCATAGATGCAACTCAAGGTGCTTTACACAAATAGTAAAATAAAATAAAAGAAAGACAGGACAGAAAAATACAAACATAACAAAAAATAAAAACATTACATTTAGATTACAGGAGATAAAAATTCATTCATTCATTGAAAATATAAGACAATAGCAATAAAGTGCTAGAGTATGTTAAAGTGCAGAGTGCAGACTGTGCATGAAGAACAAGTTAAAATCTTGAACGAAAAGCTACAGTTTTAGTCTTGATTTTAAGATATGCCTCTCCATGTGATGAGTAGTTTCTGATGTCCTGCTAGGCTTTTATAGGTTAAGCATGTTAGATAAATAGGATGGTCCCAAACCATTCAATGATTTATAGACTAGTAATATCACTTTATAGACAATTTTATTATTAAGATACCTGAAGCCAGTGTAGTGCTCTAAGAATTGGGATAATGTGTTCCCTTGTTTGGTTCAGGTCAGCTACATTTTGAATTAGCTGAAGTGTTCTGTTTTTTGAGTTTAGTTTCTCAAGGTCTTGTTTTGTCAAAAATCTAAAATTTTTGGTATATTCTTGAGGTGATAAAAAGCTGACTTCACAACTGCACTACTGTGACTGCTAAAGCTGAGGTCAGAGTCCACAAGGACACAAAGGTTGCAAACCTGTTCTTTAAATATTAGGGCTCTAGAGTCAAGACAAGCAGCAAGTCTACATCTTTCATCTTTGTTTCCAAATAAAATCATTTCAGTTTTGTCTGTATTCATTCGATAATAATGATTTTTCAAGGCACAGACATAATGAGACAATTGGACCATCATTTTGAGACAAAAGGGACAGATAAATCTGGGTATCACCTACATAACTATGGTAGGATACTCCATAGTCTTGTATGATTTGACCTAGGAGGAGCATGCATAAATGAAATAGAAGTGGCCCAAGAACTGAACCCTGGGGGACACCGCAGATCACCGCATTACCTGTTAACTCATTTAACTAGTTCTGTCTAAAACGTTGGCAGAAAAGCACCTTATGCACCCAACAGCCCGAGACAGACAGCACTACACTATCAGCTGCACTTTACAATTTCTGCAATTTCAATCAGTGCTGAAATGGAGCTCTTCCTCACTTTATGAGTGCACCATCTCACACTTGCAGAAGGAACTGAAACTTTTCCCTAATTTGCAGTCAGCACTATTCTTATTCCTCAAACACAGTTCCACAATTAGCCTTAAAACAGAATATCTCTTTTTTAATCTGAAGAAAGTCATTCCCAATATACAGTGGTTTCAGGAAAGTACTGGGACTCGTGAAATTCGACACGTGAAAGTGCACTGTCCACCGGTTGAGGTAAATCAGCTGGTGTACCTTAGGACTATCAGGCAGAAACAAAATTCAGGAAGTGTGGAAACCTGGGGCCAAACTTCTAAAGTCTGAAATCTTATCTGTTTAGTCACCATGACAACTTCAGTTAGGACTGAATTAAGAACAGAAGCTACAGAACAACAATTCTTATGATATTCTTATCCATTAACTCCAGATACGAAAACAGTATTATAGAAACACCCTAACTAGACAGAATTTCCTAAATACTGTTCTAACTTTAAGACAACCCCAGAAGTGTTTTAACTTCTGTTTTAACCATCTGTTTCTATAATTTAAGCAGTGACAGATGCGTAAAACAATCCCCTCTTATTACCTTTGTGTGTTAATGTTGATGAAAACTCATCAGATAAAATATTACAGTGATTGTGGTGAGTAATGAGGAGACAGAGCTGAATGTGATGCTGTTTATTAGGAGCAATAACATTACCGTGGTTTGGGAACTTTGAGACATTGGAAACTTGAAACTTGGGAGCTGCAACTCTCTGATAAACAGCTCAAAGCACGGTCACAATATTCTTAACTTAGAGTTTATCTCACTTTAGTTTTGTTTGACCTTTTTTTTACCCCAGTAATGGTTATTTGATTATTTTGATTACATATTTATGTTTCAGCTGTGCACGTATGGTCGTTTGCTAGGTAAAACTTAAACAAAGATAGGAAGTTTCTGTAATATGGTCCCAGATGTCTATAGTGTGGCTGCCATTCAGGGGCCATATTACAGAAACGTCCAATCTTTTTGTCTTAACTTAAGATCTGAAGGGTCAAGATAAGTTATTCATAAATTTGTATGACAGAAACAAATGTTATCTTACTTTAGGAATCTTATCTTACATCATCTTATCTTAAGTTAGGAAATGTTAACTTACTCGATCGAAGTCGACAATCAACTGTCATGCCTGTTACCTAGCAACTAACCATACGCACAGCTGAAACATAAACAGAACAACAGTTCTTAAGTCCATAATCTTGTCTTATTTCCAGATAAGAAAACGGTATTACAGCAACATCCTAAGCTGCCAAAGTATTTTAAATATTGTTTTAACTTTAAGACAACCCCAGAGGTGTCTTAACTTCTGCTGAAATCTTCAGTTTTTACTGTAAAAATGTTCAGCTGGAAATAGAATAGGTTGTTTATAGGTAGCTGTGATAGAACAACCTTAGCATTTGCTAGCATAATGGCTTTACATTTATTCATCATACAAAATGATGACTACAGATGTAAAATGATTTAAAGAGTTTTGCCAGACCCAAACGAAGTGTTGCATTTCAACGAAAAAATACTTATTAGCAACTACCGTCTCCCACGGGCCATAATACTGCAGTTAGTCGAGCAGTTGCAGATTTGGAGCGGCCAACGTGGTGTCACAGGGCTCTCCTGGTCATGGTGCAGCTAACATGCTACATTTTTTTTGCCAAAGGTGATTTTCAAAGTGAAGTTGATGATAAAGCAAGCTACGTAATGTAATCTCAGAGAGGTTGCAATGGCAATCAGTATTTTGGCTCCTACCTATATTCAGTTTCCCCGGGGAGAAGAGCTCACAGATATCAAAAGAGCATTCTTCCAGTCATCTTGTATGCTGGTGGTGATAGGACTGGTCACGGTTCTTTGTTTCCAATTAAAGCCCCCAGTGGAGAGGAAAAACCAGCATATGTGTGCCGAAAGGGGTACCATGCAATCAATGTCCAGGTGATTGGAGATCATGAATTGGAGATAATATTGATAATAAGGCTTTTGGTGGCAATATATATATATATATATATATATATATATATATATATTTTTTTATATTTTCAACACAAGGAAGCGTGTTGTAACTAACTAATAAATTAAACATTATTTCAATAAATGACAGCTTGGAATACCACAGGTCAGGACTAACCCAGGGCTCAGCTTGAGAAATCAGCTCATTCAACAAATTTTACAGATTAGAAAAATAAAGGTAGTAGGCCTGGAATCAACTTATAAATTACACAGGGACATGAAATAAGTAAATAAGTGTTTAATTGATATAGCTCATTCAGTTATTCAGTGGTAATCATTAAACAGCCATGTATAATGATGATCAGATAATAATCAATAAAGCAGAGAATAAAAAATAAGATCCATAAAATCAAACATTAAAATGTTTTAAATTCCTCACTGTGCTTTTTTGCACAACGTCAGTGAAGACTTTTCCACTTCCAGTCTGTCTCTGTCCAGCTGCAGCCTCTCCTTCTCAACTGCCAGTCTCTTCCTGTACAACTCCAGCTTCTCCCTCTCGATCTCCAGCAGTTGTGCAGTTGGGCTTGAGGTGACTTTCAGTTTTTTGCCTGTACATTAAAAACAGACACAGATATACTCTGTAACCAATGTAACTTATTTGTAACCAATGTAGCTTATGTAGTAATGTATTGTTTTCAAGGCACTACACCAATTATAAATAAATAAATGCATGCATATAAGAAAACATTGAAGCGTAGAGCAAATTAGGATTAATAAAAATAATCTTTTTAATGCAAAGAGTTTTGTAGGAGAATGACGTGCACTGTAATCTCAGAGAGGTTGCAATGGCAATCAGTAATTTGGCTCCTACGTATATTCAGTTTCCCCGGGGAGGAGAGCTCTCAGATATCAAAAGAGCATTCTTCCAGTCATCTTGTATGCTGGTGGTGATTGGACTGGTCACAGTTCTTTGTTTCCAATTAAAGCCCCCAGTGGAGAGGAAAAACCAGCATATGTGTGCCAAAAGGGGTACCACGCAATCAATGTCCAGGTGATTGGAGATCATCAATCGGAGATATATAATAAGGCTTTTGGTGGCCATATATATGGCCTGGCTCCACTCATGAAGCTTTCATTTTCAACACAAGGTAGCATGTTGCGTGTTGTTAGAATTGCATATTAGTGTTTGTGTGTGTGTGTGTGTGTGTGTGTGTGTATATATATATATATATGAAGCAGAGAATCAAATAATGTTCTACATTTCCTCACTCTGCTTTTTTGCACAACGCCAGTGAAGACTTTTCCACTTCCAGTCTGTCTCTGTCCAGCTGCAGCCTCTCCTTCTCAACTGCCAGTCTCTCCCTGTACAACTCCAGCTTCTCCCTCTCGATCTCTAGCATTTGTGCAGTTAGGCTTAAGGTGACTTTCAGTTTTTCGCCTGTACATTAAAAACAGACACAGATATATTCTGTAACCAATGTAACTTATTTGTAGCTTATGTAGTAATGTATCATTTTCAAGGCACTACATCAATTATAAATAAATAGATGCATACATATAAGAAAACATTGAAGCCTAGAGCAAATTAGGATTAATGAAAATAATCTTTTCAATGCAAAGAGTTCTGTAGGAGAATTACATGTGCATTGAAGTTTCAGTGAACTGTAATCCCACTTGTTTCCAGAGCAGGTAATAGTTGTGGAAACTTCTGGATCTGCAGGCTCATAACCAGGTGAACACTGGAATGTTGCAATGTCTCCATCTGAGTAAGTCGATTTGTTTGATTCAGGAGTCAAAACTCTGTTATGCCCTGCACTGGGTTTCTCACACTGAGCTGAGAAGACAAAAATACACCCACCCACACCCACACCCACACACACACACATACAAGTTGAATGTAGTGCAGTAACAAATTATGGGCCATCTTGTATCAAATTACTATGCTCTCTGCTCGTGAAGTTGTTCACATTAAAACAATGCTGATAACAGGATATGCACTAGCCATAGGTGATAACCGGTGATATCAAATATCACAATCAATTAAATAAGTAATGATCTGCTTTTGTTCTCTTGCACATGCCATGTGATTTTTTACATTGCTTCATATTAATTGGACATGTACAAGCATTCTTATCTATGGTTAGTTTAAAACATTTACACAACAGAAAAGACAGCAACCTGTTCCAAAAAGGATTGCAAGGATTTTAGGTCTTTCACCCTCTATGTTGCATAAGATCAACAACCGATTCAGGGAACCAGGAGAAACCTGTGTAAAGGACAAGGCCTAAACCCACAACCAAATGATGACCTTAGTACCTCAGACGGCACTGCATTAGAAACTTAGCGGAAGACTAGTGGAAAGGTTGGCCTAGTCAGAGTTAATTAGATATATTAGGCGAAGTGATGTGCAAGAGCTGCAGTTACAATGATTTCATGTTAAAAGACTGGGTGACAGTATCTGAGTGTGCTGAAGAAGATGATCTATATGTCTCATTCTGAAAATGTGAACAGATCCATTGTTATAACCAAGAACAAAAAATTGCACACATATACAAACATACATATATAGATCATTTGGAGTATATACAAGTATATACTTGTATGTCCACACACACACACACACACACACACACACACACACACACATATATATATGTATATATATATCAGTTATACACAGGAAAAGATGTTAAATTTCTTGTTTTATTGGTAGAGGTAAAATATTGTTGCAAACCATTTTGTTAAATAATAATTCACTCTAAACTTTTATGTTTGGAAAATGACAAACCTTCACAGACAGGCTCTCTCCCATCCCAACCAGCATCTAGACAATGTCTAGCTGTGAATTGAAGAAGCCGAAAGCTGCAAAGCAGAGAGGAACTGTATGAGTATATAAATACAACTACATTATATACATCAAAACACAAATTCATCAAAAACACATTTCACTCACCCTTCATCACACTGTGCTGTGGCTGTTGCACCAAATAAAACTCCTTCAGCTCCTTCTGGAGAATAAGTATATCTCCCATTGGCAAAGTCTGGAAGAGCTCCACAGCTTTTTTCTAAAACATACAAAATATTACTAAATCAGATCCTGCATTTATTCCAGAACCATTGCACAGAAATTAAATACATACATTACAAATTATATGCAAAACATCTTACGTACACACATTCAGACAGATAAACTGGAAATCTGTGAGTAATGAAGAGAGTTCTGTTGGAGAATTACTTGTGCACTGAAGTTCCAGAGTAGGGAATAGTTCTGGAAGCGTTTTGATCTACAGGCTTATAACCAGTTTCAGTTTCAGTCTGGCAAAGAACGCTAAGCAAAATGCAACTGAAACAGATAAACTCCAGCACAAGAATTCTAGTCTCTGGTGGATGCCAGCAACATGTTCAGAAAGGGTTGGGAATGGGGCGCAATTGTGAAATGTTCAAAAAACAGATGATGCGATCGTCCTCGGATATAAAATGATATTTTTGTACCGTTTGGAATTTAATACAGGTCAAACAGAATTTACTTATCACTGCTTTCTGTTTTTATTAACTTCTCACATACAGTGGTGTGAAAAAGTGTTTGCCCCTTTTTGATTTCTTATTCTTTTGCATGTTTGTCACACTTAAATGTTTCAGATCACCAAACAAATTTAAATATTAGACAAAGATAACAAGTAAACACAAAATGCAGTTTATAAACAAAGATCTTTATTATTAACGGAAAAAGAAATCCAAACCTACAGGGCCCTTTGTGAAAAAGTGATTGCCCCCTAAACGTAATAACTGGTTGGGCCACCCTTAGCAGCAACAACTGCAATCAAGCGTTTGTGATAACTGGCAATGAGTCTTTTACAGCGCTGTGCAGGAATTTTGGCCCACTCATTTTGCAGAATTGTTGTAATTCAGCCACATTGGAAGGTTTCTGAGCCTGAACCGCCTTTTTAAGGTCATGCCACAGCATCTCAATCAGATTCAGGTCAGGACTTTGACTAGGCCACTCCAAAGTCTTAATTTTGTTTTTTCTTAAGCCATTCAGAGGTGGACTTGCTGGTGTGTTTTGGATCATTGTCCTGCTGCAGAACCCAAGTGTGTTTCAGCTTGAGGTCACGAACAGATGGCCGGACATTCTCCTTCAGGATTTTTGGTAGACAGGTAGAATTCATGGTTCCATTTACCACAGCAAGCAAAACAGCCCCAGACCATCACACTACCACCACCATATTTTACTGTTGGTATGATGTTCCTTTTCTGAAATGCTGTGATACTTCTACACCAGATGTAATGGGACATATACCTTCCAAAAAGTTCAACTTTTGTCTCGTCAGTCCACAGAGTATTCTCCCAAAAGTCTTGGGGATCATCAAGATGTTTTCTGGCAAAACTGAGACAAGCCTTTATGTTCTTTTTGCTCAGCAGTGGTTTTCGTCTTGGAACTCTGCCATGCAGGCCATTTTTGCCCAGTATCTTTCTTATGGTGGAGTCATGAACACTGACCTTAACTGAGGCAAGTGAGGCCTGCAGTTCTTTGGATGAGGTGGGGTCTTTTGTGGCCTCTTGGATGAGTCGTCGCTGCGCTCTTGGGGTAATTTTAGTCGGCTGGCTACTCCTGGGAAGGTTTACCACTGTTCCGTATTTTTGCCATTTGTGGATAATGGCTCTCACTGTGTGTTGCTGGAGTCCCAAAGCTTTAGAAATGGCTGTATAACCTTTTCCAGGCTGATAGCTCTCAAACACTTTGTTTCTCATTTGTTCCTGAATTTCTTTGGATCGCAGCATGATGTCTTTAGCTTTTGAGGATCTTTTGGTCTACTTCACTTTGTCAGGCAGGTCCTACTTAAGTGATTTCTTGATTGAGAACAGGTGTGGCAGTAATCAGGCCTGGGTGAAATTGAACTCAGCTTTCCAAAGATGTGATAAACCACAGTTAATTTATGTTTTAATGGAGGGGGCAATCACTTTTTCACACAGGGCCCTGTAGGTTTGCATTTCTTTTTCCCTCAATAATAAAGACCTTCATTTATAAACTGCATTTTGTGTTTACTTGTGTTATCTTTGTCTGATATTCAAATTTGTTTGGTGATCTGAAATATTTAAGTGTGACAAACATGCAAAAGAATAAGAAATCAGGAACGGGCAAACACTTTTTCACAACACTGTACATATATATATATATATATATATAAATGGTCATCTTTAAATTTTGGCTAAATATTCAGTCCTGCAGGTCCTACAAGTGTGAAAAATAAAAATAAAAGGTATTAGTAATATTACTATATTAGTAGTGGTATGAAACATTTGTTAAGAATTAGTAATGGCACAGATATCTCTGTGCCATCACTCTGATTGACTCTGTTGACATCTAAACAATCAAATTATGCTGAGAAATTCCCCTTTGATGCACAAATATATATATGGCATATTTATTCCAGCACTACTTACTTATACATTCAAGAGGAGAAGGTTCAAAAGTTCCACTGTTAGAGCATGATACTGTTGAATCTCCAGAAAGAGTATAACCTGCATACAAACGTAAGTGACTTTCTGTCCATAGTCATACTCGTCTAGAAGCATCTCCTCAGGCTGTCCATTCGGTATCTCAGGAGGTGGAGGACACTTGATCACTAAAGGTGAAAAAATGTTTAGATAAAATGTTGTTTCAAACTATTTTGTTAAATAATAATTCGTTGTGAACTTCTACATTTAGGAAATGACAAACCTTCACAGACAGGCTCTCTCCCATCCCAACCAGCATCTAGACAATGTCTAGCTGTGTATTGAGGAAGCCGAAAGCTGCAAAGCAGAGAGGAACTGTATGAGTATATAAATACAACTACATTTATTACTAGTAAACAAAAGGACTGACCAGAAATACATCAAAAACACATTTCACTCACCCTTCATCACACTGTGCTGTGGCTGTCGCACCAAATAAAATTCCTTCATCTCCTTCTGGAGAATAAGTATATCTCCCATTGGCAAAGTCTGGAAGAGGTCCACAACTTTTTTCTAAAACATACAGAATATTACTAAATCAGATCCTGCATTTATTCCAGAACCATTGCACAGAAATTAAATACATTACAAATTATATGCAAAACATCTTAAGTGCATGCATTCAGACAGATAAAATGGAAATCTATGAGTAATGAAGAGAGTTCTGTTGGAGAATTACTTCTGCACTGAAGTTTCAGTGAACTGTAGTCCCACTTGTTTCCAGAGTAGGTAATAGTTCTGGAAGCGTTTGGATCTACAGGCTTATAACCAACAGAACACTGCTTCACAGAGTTTCAGTCTGGCAAAAAACGCTAAGCAAAATGCAACTGAAACAGATAAACTCCAGCACAAGAATTCTAGTCTTCTAGTGGATGCCAGCAACATGTTCAGAAAGGGTTGGGAATGGGGGCAATTTAAGAAAGGAACATTGTGAAATGTTCAAAAAACAGATGACGCAATCGTCCTTGGATATAAAAGGAGCACCCAGGAAAGTCTAAGTACTTCATGAGCAAAGATGCATTGAGGTTCTCCACTTTGCCAAAAATGCATCAGCCAAAAATCTAACAGTTTAAAACAAAGACATTGAGCGATTGCAAGGATTTTAGGTCTTTCACCCTCTATGTTGCATAATATCAATGACAGATTCAGGCAACCAGGAGAAATCTCTGTATGTAAAGGCCAAGGCCTAAACCCACAACTGAATGATGACCTTCGATCCCTCAGACAGCACTGCATTAAAAACTGGCTGATGGATCTCACCACATGAGCTTAGAAATGCTTGGACAAACCCTTGTTAGTAAACAGTACACAAATGCAGGTTAAGACTGTACTGTGCACAGCGGAAGTCATGTATCAACAGCGTCAAGAAACACTGCCGACTTCTCTGGGCTTGAGCTCATCTGAAATGGACTGATGCACAGTGGAAACGTGTTTAGTGATGTGAGAAGTCAATCTCTCAGAACTTTTATGGACACAATGGAGGTCGTGTTCTCTGGGCCAAAGAAGAAAAGAACTATTCAGATTGTTAAAACAGCATGGTTGTGTAATCTGAGAGCTCAGGTGCCAGATCGGCCTTCATGCAGTCCACCTTTCTCCCTTTGAAAACGTGTAAAACACAACAATGAAGGACCCACATGGTTGTACAGCTGAAGACAGCTGTAAAAGTCAAGTCAAGTCAAGTCAGCTTTATTGTCAATACTACAATATGTACAGGACATACAGAGTATTGAAATTGCGTTACTCTCAGACCCCATGGTGTAGCAATAACATTAAATAAAAAGTAACCCGGAAAAATGTGTATTTAAATAGACATTGGCAAAGTAGGGAGAGAGTTCAGCATCCTGACAGCCTGGTGGATGAAGCTGTCCCCCAGTCCCTGGCCTGGAGACTCCGCAGTCTCCTCCCTGATGGCAGCAGGCTGAAGAAGCTGTGTAGTGAGTGAGTGGGATCACCTGCCATGCAGAGGGCTTTTCGGGTGAGACGGGAGCTGTATATCTCTTGGAGGGAGGGGAGGGAGGTGCCAACGATCTTCTCAGCTGCTCTCATGATGCGCTGGAGTGTCTTGCGGCAGGACACGATGCGCCATACCACACGGTGATGCAGCTGGTCAGGATGCTCTCAATGGTACCTCTGTAGAAGGTGCACATGATGGGGGCTGGGGCTCTGGCTCTTCTCAGTTTGCGGAGGAAGTAGAGGCGCTGATGAGCCCTTCTGGCCAGTGATGCTGTGTTGGTGGCCCAGGAGAGGTCCTCTGTGACGTGCACGCCCAGGAACTTGGTGCTGTTCACCCTCTCCACAGCAGCACCATTGATGGTCAGAGGAGCATGCTGGGTGCACGTTCTCCTCAAGTCCACAACAATCTCCTTTGTCTTCTCATTGTTCAGATGGAGATTGTTGTGTCTACACCACAAGGCCAGGTGGCTCACCTCACTCCTGTAGTTTGTCTCATCGTTGTTGCTGATGAGACCCACCACAGTCGTGTTGTCCGTGAACTTGATGAAGAGGTTGGAGCTGTGCAACGGTGTGAAGTCGTGGGACATCAGAGTGAATAGGAGGGGGCTCAGTACACATCCTTGGGGGGCCCCCATGTTCAGTGTGATGGTGCAGGATGTGTTGTTGCCAGCCCGTACTGCCTGTGGTCTCCCAGTCAGGAAGTCTAACAGCCAGTTGCGCAGTGAAGTGTTCAGCCCCAGCCTGTCCAGTTTGAGAATGAGCTGCTGGGGGATGATGGTGTTAAATGCGGAGCTGAAATCTATGAAAAGCATTCTGACATAAGAGTCTTTTTTGTCCAGATGTGTGAGGGCTGAGTGGAGGGCGGTGGAGATGGCATCATCAACAGAGCGATTAGGCCAATATGCAAACTGGAAGGGGTCCAGGGAGGGGGGAAGGACAGACTTGATGTGTTGCATGACCAGCCGTTCAAAGCACTTCATGAGGATAGGAGTGAGTGCAACTGGACGGTAGTCATTGAAACAGGAGGGTGACGCTTTCTTCGGGACAGGGATGATGGTGGTGGCTTTCAGGCATGTGGGGACAACAGCCTGACTCAGTGAGATGTTAAAGATATCTGTAAAGACATCTGTGAGCTCCCCAGCACAGTCCCTCAGCACACGACCGGGTATGTTGTCAGGACCAGGAGCTTTCCGAACGTTGATCCTGCTGAATGATCTCCTCACACTGACTGGGCACAGCGTCAGCACCTGGTCTCCAGGAGTTGGTGGGATCTTCTGTGCAGGCATGTTGTTGTCTGTCTCAAACCAGGCAAAGAAGTTGTTAAGCTCATTCAGCAGAGAGGTGGAGCTGTCACAGGTCTGCGGTGGGGGCTTGTAGTCTGTGATGGTCTGTATCCCCCGCCACAGGCTCTGTGTATCTCTGCTGTCGCTGAAGCGATGGGCTATCCTCCTGGAGTACTGCCTCTTTGCCTTTCTGATGCCGCGGGACAGGTTGGTCCTAGCTGCCCTCAGGCCCACCTTGTCTCCTGCTGAGAAGGCAGCATTCCTAGCTTTCAGTAGCCTGTAGACCTCCCCTGTCAGCCATGGCTTCTGATTGGCCCAAACCATGATGGTCATGAGAACAGTTACATCCTCCATGCACTTGGAGATGTAGCCAGTGACTGTGTCAGTATACTCCTGGAGATCTGTGGTGTTGTTGTAGGTCGCCGCTTGTTTAAACACATTCCAGTCTGTGGTGTTAAAACAGTCTTGAAGTGTCTCTGAAGACCCTTCCGGCCACACTCGTACCTGCTTCTGAACTGGTTTGGTGACTTTAACCAGTGGTCTGTATACTGGCATTAGCATAACAGTGATGTGGTCAGAGGCGCCAAGGTGGGGGAGGGGAATGGCTTTGTAAGCTTCTTTCTGGGTGGTGTAAACATGGTCCAGTGTGTTTTTTTCCCAGTGTTGGAAAGTTTATGTGTTGATATATTTTTGGAAACACACTCTTTGGGTCTGCATGATTGAAATCTCCAGCCAAGATGAGAAAAGGGTGGGCTGTCTGCTGCTCACTGATGTGTCGATACAGCTCATTCAGTGCCTCACTCCTATTGTTGTTATTGGAGCTTGGAGGAATATAAACAGCGATGATTATAACGGCAGTAAATTCCCTCTAGATGTAGAATGGCCTGCACTTAAAAGCCATAAACCCCACTAACGGTGAGCAGTGTTTGCAGACCACAGCAGCGTCGTGACACCAGGCATCATTAATGTAACCACAAAGCCCCCCGCCGCGGGTCTTACTTCCTTCAACGAGAGCTCTGTCTGCTCAATACCATGTTAGCCACTCAAGCTGGATGGCGTGGTCCGGGACGTTGTTACTGAGCCATGTTTCCGTGAACACAAACACACAACAGTCTCTCACAGACTTTTGGGTTGTGCGTAGCAGGCGTCTATAGTCCAGTTTGTTGTCCAGTGAGCGTACGTTGGCCAGTACCATGGTGGGGATGGCCGGCTTGTGTGGGCTAGCCATTAGCCTAGCTCGGATACCTCCGCGCTTACCCCTCTTCTGCTTCCACTCATGCCACTTATAGCGCCTCCATTTTGGGCGAGATGCAGGAGTGGGGGCGGTGTTGGTGCCAGACTCCTAAGCAAACCACAGACTCATAGCTCTTCTTCGCTGCGAGTTTAACTCTAAAAATGAGGTTCTGCCAATGTCGAGCAGGAAAACACTGCGACTCGCAGGACAAAAAACATGAAAACACCATTTTGTCAGGAGAGAGAGAAGCCACAGCTGTGCATGCGCCGCCATCTTGGTAATGTGAACTGATTGAGACAGAAAAATGTCTCAGAAAAATGGCAAAAGATTCTGTTTTCAAAACTGGATCAGTTGTTGCCCCCAAACAATTAAGTTTTGTCAAAAGGAAAGGTGATTTAACAGAGTAGTAAACATGCTCCTGTCCCAACTTTTCTGTAACACGTCACAGGCATCAAATTTGGAATGAGCATATTTTTACAAAAGCAATGACGTTCACAAGGTAAAACATCAAGTATTGTTTTTTTGTACTCTTTGGAATTTAATACAGGTCAAACAGAATTTACTTATCACTGCTTTCTGTTTTTATTAACTTCTCACATACTGTCCTAACCTTTTTGGGATTGGTTTTGTACATAAGTATTTCATCTGGTACCTTAAGGAGTGAGGGACATGAAAAGACTCTTTTTTCACTGGTCTTCACAGAGGGAACAACAAGGAACTAAAAACTGAGCATGTGTACAGGTAGGGGCACTTGGTGCAGACCAGTGTATATACAACCTGGGAACTAAACAAGAAGTGGCATTTGTGGAAAACTGATATGTTGAACCTTCATCATGCAGTGTGGATAACTTCTGGACTGCATCCCACTGCATCACCATAGGTGTTTAGAGTGACTTTGTATGTGACTTGTATATATATATATATATATATATATATATATATACATGGTCATCTTTAAATTTTGGCTAAATATTCAGTCCTGCAGGTCCTACAAGTGTGAAAAATTAAAATAAAAGGTATTAGTAATCTGTATGGTTACGAATATTGGTAGTGGTATGAAAAATTTGTTAAGAATTAGTAATGGCACAGATATCTCTGTTGTAAGAAAGTGATTCCCTGTAATGGTTTGATTTGTAGATGACGTCATCTAGTATGCAACAAATCAAGCCATTACAAGCTGTAACCTGCAAATTTCCTGAACCCAATGAAATACAGGCTCGATAGGAATCACACTGAGACAGAAAATCTTGAAGTCAACACAGTACAAATATCTGGTTTTATGAAAAAAACGCTGAATGTGAAATTACAGCCAGTAAAAAGTATTGAAAAATTTGCTATTTTGAAAAATGTCTAAAATGATGAAAAATTAATATAACGTCTTTAAATTTTATAGATATCTGCAATGAATATTAACACCTTCCAATAATAAAAGTTTCAAGCAAATTCAAATAATCATTCAAATAATAGTTCATGGTGGAGAGGTACATGTAGGGTGTTGTAGGGCAAAATACACCCACCCAGTTTTTTTTTAGATTAACTGCTATATTACCATTATTAAAATTACATATGAAAAATCAGAAGACAAGTGTAGGTTCACTTGTTCCATCAAACCACTCTGATTGACTCTGTTGACATCTAAACAATCAAATTATGCTGTGAAATTCCCCTTTGATGCACAAATATATATATGGCATATTTATTCCAGCACTACTTACTTATACATTCAGGAGGAGAAGGTTCAAAAGTTCCACTGTTAGAGCATGATACTGTTGAATCTCCAAAAAGAGTATAACCTGCATTACAAACGTAAGTGACTTTCTGTTCATAGTCATACTCGTATAGACGTGGCTCCTCAGGCTGTCCATTCGGTATCTCAGGAGGTGGAGGACACTTGATCACTAAAGGTGAAAAAATGTTTAGATAAAATGTTGTTTCAAACTATTTTGTTAAAAAATAATTCATTGTGAACTTCTACATTTAGAAAATGACAAACCTTCACAGACAGGCTCTCTCCCATCCCAACCAGCATCTAGACAATGTCTAACTGGGTATTGAAGAAGCCGAAAGCTGCAAAGCAGAGAGGAACTGTATGAGTATATAAATACAACTACATTCATTACTAATCAACAAAAGGACTGACCAGACATACATTAAAAACACATTTCACTCACCCTTCATCACACTGTGCTGTGGCTGTCGCACCAAATAAAACTCCTTTAGCTCCTTCTGGAGAATAAGTATATCTCCCATTGGCAAAGTCTGGAAGAGCTCCACAGCTTTTTACTAAAACATACAAAATATTACTAAATCAGATCCTGCATTTATTCCAGAACCATTGCACAGAAATTAAATACATTACAAATTATATGCAAAACATCTTAGGTACACACATTCAGACAGATTCAATGGAAATCTATGTGTAATGAAGAGAGTTCTGTTGGAAAATTACTTGTGCACTGAAGTGCCAGTGTACTGTAGTCCCACTTGTTTCCCGGAGTAGGGAATAGTTCTGGAAGCTTTTGGATCTACTTATAACCAAAAGAACACTGGTTCACAGAGTTTCAGTCTGGCAAAGAACGCTAAGCAAAATGCAACTGAAACAGATAAACTCAAGCGCAAGAATTCTAGTCTCTGGTGGATGCCAGCAACATGTTCAGAAAGGGTTGGGAATGGGGGCAATTTAAGAAAGGAACATTGTGAAATGTTCAAAAAGCAGACGGCGCAATCGTCCTTGGATATAAAAGGAGCACCCAGGGAAGTCTAAGTACTTCATGAGCAAAGATGCATTGAGGTTCTCCACTTTGCCAAAAATGCATCAGCCAAAAATCTAACAGTTTAAAACAAACTCATTGAGCGATTGCAAGGATTTTAGGTCTTTCACTCTATGCTGCATAATGTCAACGACAGATTCAGGCAACCAGAAGAAATCTCTGTGTGTAAAGGCCAAGGCCTAAACCCACAACTGAATGATGACCTTCGATCCCTCAGACAGCACTGCATTAAAAACGGCAAGCATCCATGATGGATTTCACAACATGAGCTCGGGAATACTTTGACAAACCCTGGTCAGTAAACAGTACACAAATGCAGGTTAAGACTGTACTGTGCACAGCGGAAGTCATGTATCAACAGCATCTAGAAACACTGCCGACTTCTCTGGCTGCGTAATCTGAGAGCTAAGGTGCTAGACCGGTACAAATACATGGAAAAAATGGTCATCTTTTAGTTTTGGCCATATATTCAGTCCTGCAGGTCCTTTAAGTGTAAAAAAATAAAAATAAAAGGTACTAGTAAACTAGTAAATGGTTATTAATATTAATAGTGGTATTAGAAATTAGTTAAGAATTAGTAATGGCACAGATAGCTCTGTTGTAAGAAAGTGATTCCCTGCATGTAACTACACTGAGCCACTGTGATTTCACTGCATCACCACTTCTCTTTAAAGTGACTTTGCATAAACCAACAGGCTTGAGAGCTCACCTTAACTGTGTGATTTTTTCAGCCTTTTAAACACAAAAATCTGATCTTTTCCTGACAGATTTAAGTCACTTTTTAAACACATCACATTTCACTGCACATCATTCTGGTCATCATCTAGAGTCACCCACTCCCAGCAGTGGCTAACTTTATAAAATGTGCACATGCAACTGCTTTAAGCGCAGAGCTGTATCACTTAAACAAGTAGATATTTTTGAGCTGGGCCAATTTCCTTTTATATCCAAACAAGTGAACACTGTAGATGCTAAAAATGCCCAAACTCTCACCAGTGCAGTTTGGAGGAGGTGAGTTCCATCCATTTCTCTCACACACTAGGGAAGGAGATCCCACCATCTTAAAGCCAGGATTACAAGCAAACTCTATAGTGCTTTTAAATCTATAGGGTGGTCTTCCATGAACTCTTTTGCCATTCGGAAGGGAGGGTGGATCACAGGACACCTCTGGATAAAAAGAACAATGAAGAGAAATGTGAATGAAGAAAATGCTGAATATGCCTCATTCTGAAAATGAAAACACATCCATTGTTATAACCAAGAACACAATTTTTTTAACATACACAATATAATATATATATGTGTATATATATATATATATATGTATATTAGGGGTGGGAATCTCTAGGCACCTCACCATTCTATTCGATTAGGATTCGGAGGGCTGCGATGCGATTATAAAACGATTATCGATGCATCTTTTTTTCTATATAGCATTTATATTTTCTCACTGTGTGAGCTCAAGTTTCAAGTTCAAGTTTCAAGTTTATTTGTCACTTGCACAACATGTCAGGACATTTATGCATTGAAATGCTTGTGGTGAGGCTCAGCTAATCACTCTACAGTAAGTAAATAAGTAAAAACAAAAATACAAGAAAAACCAACTGAAATATATTAAATATACACAAAATATACACAGAATATACACAGAATATAGAGACAATATACATTTTAAAGTGACTAAGTGACTCAGTGTATTTAAAGTGACTTGGTGCTTTATAGCAAAGTATTTGTAATGATCCATAATGTATTCACTTCAAATATCTTTTTTAATAAATCAAATGGAAGTGATGTGGCAAGTGAACTAGAAGGCTCTCATTCAGTGCTCTTGTTTGGAGCACGAGAAGCTGCTGCTACTCATCTGTGATAAAATGCGCAGTGGATGACCACGCAGCACGTTACAGCTATTCTACCCGTTTTCTTTAGTGATTTTATAACTTTGGTTTTGGTCTCGTTGTAGAGACGGGGGGGATCGCTGGGTCAGTAAAATATCTTCGAGACGGGACGTGTGCAACATCGCTTCGCAGCGACTGAGAACCGGTGTGCAGACTGCAGGTCACATAGCAGCGATGCGTTATTCGCATTTATAAGCAGCGCAGTTGGTTTCCTGGTACGTTAAATCTGCAACGAGAGACTGTCACACACTAAAAAGTGGCGAAGATGAAGTCAGCTTCTCTTTCAAATTCTCCCGTTCCACCTTAAATGGTGCCGCATTTACATTCGGCGCCTCAGTTAGAATTTAAGGTGGAACGGGTAAATTCGAACAAGAAGCTGGAGAATAAGAAGCGACTTCAGCCTCGTAAAACAGTCGTTGAGAGACATTTAACTGATCAACTTTTGAGGAAACGTTTTCTGGCGGAGATGGGAGGAAAGCAGCTGTAGGCGAAGCTTAAAGCAGAGTGAAGTAAATCTGCGCTCTCATTTATATTGTTTAGCCTGTACTAGGAAATTATCACATACTGACACATACTGGACATTAAATGTTGTGGCTCCCAAGCTGGTTTGATTTTTGTTGAAAGGTCAAAATGGCTCTTCTTATCATTTGTGTTGTGGCTCCTGATCTAACCTGGCTTTAATGCAGAGGGAGCCGGTCGGATTTCTCGCTCATCCAGCTGTGTTTTTGTTATGTGCCGCCACAAACTGTCCGGGCGCTGCACTTACCCACTTCCAAGTTCCGCCTTTTGCGTTCCGTCAACATTACATATATATATATATATATATATATGGATCATTCTACCTAATTAGCTCAAACCGCAGCCCCACATTCAAAAAAGCTCTGTAAAAAACAAGTATTCAGATCTTAGACATTTACCATAGTACTTACAGTAGATTATGAACACGTTTAGCTTGCTGTGATGATCAGGCATGAAAGCCAGTTGTGATGAGTGACCGTATTTTAAGTTATGATCCATTTAAACCCAATACATTAACTAGGACGGTAATAAGCTAAATATATACACAAAATCATTATTTATAGGGTACTTTCTGCCCTAAATTTTAACACTTAAATTTCAACTTGTGACTGCATCCCTGTCCCTCATTGCCAAATGGTGAGCAGTTAAATCCCATTGTTTTGAACTAAATGTGTCCAAAAATCTGAAAATCCTAAAGAATTGTCAATCCCAAAACGCCATGTACTAGCTAGTGTTTGTGAGCTATGCCCAAAATTAGCAAAAATTTTAATCACTGAAACAGTCAATACTGAAACATCTGGTAAAATTTCAGTAGTGTTTGTTTTGGTAGTGACAAAATGGAAAGCTCAATCATTTATTTCAATACAATAAACATAATTGAGGTGTAGAGAAACTCAAAGCAAAAGTCTGAACCAATTCGATAGAATGATCCATATACAAAAATGAGAAATATTAATGTCTGGGTTTGAACTCCTGGAATAATGCACCGTTTGGTGATTTCCCTACTTAACTCTAAACATCCAATTCTAAACGTTAAAGCGGAAAAAATTCTGCATAATTAATTCTTTGAGATGTAAACAAAGTAATTCAGAGTGGTTTGCTGTGAAATAAGTTGTGCACAGTGGTGGTGATAGGAATCAGACATCTGATGTATTTCACCTAGTTTGTTTACTAAAGTCAGAACCAGAGTTTGGGTTTTTGTGACATGGTATCTTTTTCCATTCAGTTTGGTTGGTTTCACACTGCAATGGCTAAAAAAAGCACCAAGGTATACATGTGAGTGCTTGTTTATTGGCTAGAAACTCAGCAGGGATAAAAGCACCATGTTACTCTCATATGTGCCACCGTTTGATCCAATTCTATTAAATACCATTCCTGATGCTTGAAACATCGGGTCATAACATACCATCTCACCTAACCCTCCCAGTTCATGTCATGGATTTTTTTTTTAAAAATCATGTGAAAACTTGAATTAAATTCATGCGATGACTCTGAGTACTTTTTAGTTCTAATTGTTTGAAGTTTGGTCCTTTTCATCATTTTTGTGATTCTTTGTATGTGCATCTAGACCTCACCTATTGCTTTTTTTTGCTGGATTGAGATAAAATTTGTGCTGAACATCCAAGAATCCCTAATAATTTGCCACATGTATTCATGTAAATAGTTATTGCTGAATGTTTAACAGTAATCAAATTATCAATAAAAATATATTTTTTTACCTTAATATTTTTTCACTTTCTTGCAACCAGATTTTGATTCTGTGTAATATTAATAAAGTTCTATAACATCTATAAGTTATTTGGTCCTCCATAAAAAATTGAGTGCCACAGATCTTACTAAATATAGCTTCAGAGCTGAAAACCCACTGTTTGAGATATTTTGACTATATATTTTCCCAGAAATTATTATTTGAATTTGCTTGAAGGTGTTGAAATTCATTGCAGATATATAAAACATTTAAAGATGTTATATTAATCCATCATTAATAATTTATTGAAAATAGCTATTTTTTCTTACTTTTCACCGGCTGCAATATTACATTTAGTGTTTAATTTTACAGGTAGCTATGTGTATTATGTTGACTGTCTATGTGTCTGTCTCTATGTAATACCTATTGAGTGTTTCAATGGTTTCAGGAAATTTGCTAGTTACAGCTTGTAATGGTTTGATTTGTAGATGACATCATCTAGTATGCAACACATTGAACCATTACAAGCTGTAACCTGCAAATTTCCTGAACCCAATGAAATACAGGCTCGATAGGAATCACACTGAGACAGAAAATCTTGAAGTCAACACAGCACAAATATCTGGTTTTATAAAATAAAACCACTGAATTTCAAGCAAATTCAAATAATCATTCAAATATTAATTTATGGTGGAGAGGTACATGTAGGGTGTTATAGGGCAAAATTCTCCCCCTCAGTCAGATTAACTGCTATATTACTATTATTAAAATAACATATGAAAAATCAGAAGACAAGTGTAGGTTCACTTGTTCCATCAAACTACTCTGATTGACTCTGTTGACATCTAAACATTCAAATTATGCTGTGAAATTCCCCTTTGATGCACAAATATATATATATATATATATATATATATATATATATATATATATATATATATGGCATATTTATTCCAGCACTACTTACTTATACATTCAGGAGGAGAAGGTTCAAAGATTCCATTTTTAGAGCATGATACTGTTGAATCTCCAAAAAGAGTATAACCTGCATTACAAACGTAAGTGACAGCCTGTTCATAGTCATACTCGTCTAGAAGCGTCTCCTCAGACTGTCCATTCAGTATCTCAGGAGGTGGAGGACACTTGATCACTAAAGGGAAAAACATGTTTAAATAAAATATTGTTTCAAACCATTTTGTTAAATAATAATTCACTCTAAGGGCGGCACAGTGGCGCAGTGGGTAGCGCTGTCGCCTCACAGCAAGAATGGCCTGGGTTCAATTCCTGGCCGGGCGACCAGGGTCATTTCTGTGTGGAGTTTGCATGTTCTCCCTGTGTCTGCGTGGGTTTCCTCCGGGTTCCTCCCACAGTCCAAAAACATGCAGTCAGGCCAATTGGACGTGCTAAAATTGCCCCTAGGTGTGAGTATGTGTGTGAATGTGTATGTCTGTCTGTCTGCCCTGCAATGGACTGGTGACCTGTCCAGGGTGTTTCCTGCCTTCTGCCCAATGACAGCTGGGATAGGCTCCAGCACCCCACCGCGACCCAGAAGGATAAGCAGTTTAGATTATGTATGTATGTATAATTCACTCTAAATTTTTACGTTTAGGAAATGACAAACCTTCACAGACAGGCTCTCTCCCATCCCAACCAGCATCTAGACAACGTCTAGCTGTGTATCGAAGAAGCCGAAAGCTGCAAAGCAGAGAGGAACTGTATGAGTATATAAACACAACTACATTTAATACTAATCAACAAAAGGACTGACCAGAAATACATCAAAACATATTTCACTCACCCTTCTTTACACTGTGCTGTGGCTGTCGCACCAAATAAAACTCCTTCAGCTCCTTCTGGAGAATAAGTATATCTCCCATTGGCAAAGTCTGGAAGAGGTCTACAACTTTTTTCTAAAACATACAAAATATTATTAAATCAGATCCTGCATTTATTCCAGAACCATTGCACAGAAATTAAAATGCATACATTGCAAATTATATGCAAAAGATCTTAAGTACACACATTCAGACAAATAAAATGGAAATCTATGAGTAATGAAGAGAGTTCTGTTGGAGAATTACTTGTGCACTGAAATTTCAGTTTACTGTAGTCCCACTTGTTTCCAGAGCAGGTAATAGTTCTGGAACCTCTCAAAGATGCAGGCTTATAACCAACTGAACACTGGAATGTTGCAGTGTCTCCATCTGAGTAAGTCAGTTTGATTGATTCAGGAGTCAAAATTCGTTGATCCCCTGCTCTGGGTACCTCACACTGGGCTGAGAAGACAAAAAATAGAGTTGAATGTAGAGCAGAAACCAATTACTAGAAATCTGAATTTAGTCATTCTGCTTTAAATCACTGGGCTCAACACCACCTATCACAGGTCTTAAAGATGCAACAGTGCTGATAATAGCCTTGGATAACAATTATTATTGTCAAGCAATAACAATAATAATAATCATCATCATCATCATTATCATCTTTACTAATAGATCATTTTTCATGGCAGCTCAAAGTGCTTTACAGACAGGTGATAAAACTGAACAGTAATAGAAGAAATTATGAGTATTCAATTAACATCATATGAGGTGATGACATAGATCAAATTAAAAAAGGTAAACACCAAAGAGACATCGAATTTTAATTTAAATGCTAAGTCAAATATGTCTTCAAATATTTCTTAAAAGTGCATTGAGCTTGACTGTTTAATAAAAGGTGTAATATCATGCTACACCAGGTGTAATTAAATTTGCCATGAAATTATTTCCTATGAAAGTGTAAGAAAAGCAAAATGGATGCTAAGACTAGTTTACTAACCTCATCTAATGTTACTTCTTCACAAGTTTAAAAAATACACACCAATCTTTTAACAAATAAAGAATGATGTTTCAGAAAGTACAGAAAATCCACAACCAAAATATTGTAGTACTGAATTTTTGACAAAATCTGTTTACTATTATCATTTTTTGTATTTGGCTTGTTTTTTCTTTCTTTTACAAAACAGACAGATTCTGCTGACCGTCAGAGTCTGACTTCGGAACGCCCATATTCACGCTCCAATCAAATCCTGAGGAATACAATCATGTCTTGCCCATAAAATGCGTCCTGATTTCCAATTCATGTTGACTTTAAGCCCTAAAAAGTGGCCTGACACATTTATGCACATCTGCATGATTTACCCATAAGCGTTAGATTAGACATCATCCTCACAAAGACCACAATGGAAGCCTAAGCCAGGGGTTTATAGAAAGATATAGGGAAAAAAGGATGGATGTGCTATCATGACCAACCTCTAAATATAATGTAACATTTGTTTGTGGTGTAAATATGGCACATGGAACCCCCTCCTTGAAAACAGGCACACCTCAATGCTTTAAAGCAAGATAAAAAAGGCCTAGGTCTGTCTCTACTTACTGATCTTCATCAAAATGGTAAGTTAAAGTAAATTAAAAAGAACTCACCTCTGATCTTTACAACATTCAGGAGACACATGAGAAAGATGATTTGACTGCAGCAGTTTGACATCATTTTTTGATTTGATCTGCCAACTTCTCAAATCCAGTGAGGGTCAGTGATATTGTCTGGTCACACAGGTAAGCAAGAAAAACAGAGAGTTGGTTGCTGAGTTAACGCTAGCTAGTTAGCCAACAAGCATAACAAGCTTATCAGGTACACAGCAAAAAGCATTAAAACTCAACAACTAAAATGAATTTCTATAAATGCATATTCCAAAAGGTGTAATTCGCTATACACCCTACAGTAAAGTGTTACCGAAAGGTTTAACTGATGAATTAGTTATTAGCTCTACAAACCTTCAAACCTTCCTTCTAATGCACAATGACAACACCTGCCTGCTTAGCTAATGTTAACCCAGATACCACTATACAAGCTAAATTATCAAAATAATTTATCAATCTTTATATAAATTACCACAAAACATTGCCATACATTTTAGATTAAATTGCACATATCTTGTTTTGCTAACTATTTAGTACGAACAAATTTAAGGAGTCTCAAGAATCTCGCTAGCTAACTTAGTGGCTAAACAGGAGAGATTGTGCTAACCTCCTTGCTTACGTTGTTACACTCACCTAGACAGAGCCACAAAGGTCAACAACGAAGTCCTAAGACTTCTCTACCATGTCAGGTCCCAGTGGTTCTGTGGAAGCTATTTATACTTAGCAAGCTCTTAAAAAAAAGCCAGGAAATTATGACACACTGCTCTGAGGAAATGAGCAGCCGATGCATGTAGACATGTCAGTGCAGACATGACAGAATGGTCAGAAACAGTTCACACATCTACATAAACACAAACAGCAAAGGCACTGCAAGCACAAGGTGCTGTGCACTCCGTTACTCAGTACTCATTCTTAAATTACTTTGGTGGGTATAAAATAGTGAGGTGTTGTTTGTAAACGAAGCTCTAAGTGGACCATTTTCAAATTCTTTTTTCAGTGCTTTTAAAAAAGTAGGATGTTATCTTGTTCATCTTTTCGCGAAGCTGAAGTTCCCAGTTAGCCAATTGTATCTGGCCCATTTGTGGGCCACATCCTTGGTTTAGTTCTGGCCCAGTTCTGGTTGGGTCATCAGCACAGATGTGTCCCATATACTCTAAAATGAGAGGAACTAATGGATGTGGCCCAAATGAGGCCCACACACTGTAAAATGACAACCAGTGGATGTGGCCCAGCTCTGGCCCTCAAAAAATGAGTAAAGTGAGTAGAACTGGGCCAGATTTGTTAGTTTTTTTAGTTATTAGTTTGATAGTTGTGTATGTCCCTGAAGTACAGGTGTAAACCCAGTCAGTGTGCCTTTATAAAATAGGAGAGATCAAGCTAACTGTGTATAAGACACTGTTTTGCAATTTAACTTGATAAACAGCTACGTTTTCTGATTCTGTATGTGATAATTAGTTTAACTACTAGAGGATTTTTTGTTACCGTAAATAAATACATTTAACTAAATAATAAATAAATAATACAATAAATAAATTTTATCCTATATTATGTTAAACATAGGCCCTTTCTGAGATATGCATTGGATCCCACTTGGGCAAGAGGTGGCTTTTCAAACCTACCTATGGTGGTAGTAACCTTAGAAGTTATACAGAGACTTTTAACTGTTTCCATCATGAGCTTACATGGGTATATTATGATCATAATGCTTTGTTTTGCATATGTTGATTTTCACCAGTGCAGAATCCTTTAGACAGAACAAAAAGCAAAAACATTTAGAATGTAGTCAGATTCTTTATTGTGCATCACAATTATATATATGTTCAAAATGGAACAATTATTAATGCACAAAAGCAAACAGACAAACAGAAATGTTTTGGTCTATTGTAGATGAACCTCATCTGAAAAATTAGAAGTAGGGCTTAATTTAAGTAATATAATAATAATAATAATATGTTTTTTGTTAATTACATAACCTAGTATCTTATATAATAAGTAACATAAGTTTGAAGTAATTTGTTTTTCAAAGATCTAACTAAAATACTAGACAGTGACAGTTACTCAATAATAATAATAATAATAATAATAATAATAATAATAATAATCATAAAAGTTTTCAGTCAAATCAGTCAAAACCTTTCCACTTCCTGATGCCTGAGGAAAAAGGAAAAGCATTCAGGTGCCATTTTGCCACTTCTTTAACTGATTTCCAGATATCACAGTGTTTGTGTCAAACTGTCAAACTCCACAGCTACAAACTCTGTAAACAACAAGAAAGTTTTTGTTCTAACAAACATTAAGAAACCCAGTATCTAATTTACACTACTTACAGGTCGAACTAATGTACAGCACTCCTAACAACAAACCCTCATATGAACCAGGAAATATCGCCTCAGTTTAACAACCACAGCACCCGTTTTAAACTGTTTTCTAGCTCTACTGACCTTTACTGATGGGTGATGTGTGTGCAAATGAGAGGACGTGCTACTGCTGTCACACTACATTCACGCCAGAATTGGCACATGAACGCAAATCAAAACCTCACACAGCTGTCCAGCATCTGGCCCAATTCTGGCCCCCATGCCTTATCTATCCAGAAGTCAACCAACACTCGCGGATGTAAGCCAGAATCGGCCCAGAACTGCCTGGTATCTGGTTTGGCTTTGTATTCACCAGCTTCTTATTCGATTTTCCGGTCTACCTTAAGTGATGTAGCAGTTACCTTAATGTTGCACCTGCGCTACAATAGAACCTAACTGCAGCACCATTTAAGGTGGAACGGAAATTTGAATAAAAATCGGACAAAAAGGCTCAAATCTCAGCTTCATCCACAATATTCTGAGAAAATCTCCTTGAAAAAAAATGTAAAAAAACCAAAAAAACAAAAAAACAAAAAACATATAATGTTCCCTCGTAACGTCCCTCGAGCCGATTACGTTGAAAAAACATGGAGTCGACAGAGTCAAAGAGTCGACTCCAACCATTTCGACTCTTCGAGTCACTGGCCCACAGTCAACCTCTCTGTGTTAATGTACGTCTCTAACGTATCTGTCTAGCTTGTTTAATTAACTTTTACTTTCTTACCTTCTGAGTTTCTGAATTTGATTGTGTCAGGAGTTTATTGATGAATGCTAACGTTAGTTAGTTTCTATCTTCTGCCTGAATATACAGTTTAGCTAACTAACGTTTGCTAGCTAAAGCTAACGTTTGCCTTAACATTGGCTTGCTAGCTAATGAACGATAACCCAGCCTGTATTTTATGTGGTTGTCCTGCAGGCTTAATACAGGACAGTATGGGTGATGGTGAATTTTACATTTATGTGCTGTTGTATTAAGGAAGCAGAGGGAGGTAAGAATGACAAGAGGCAGGAGGAGGTCAGAAAGACAGTGAGTAGGCAGGAACTACTAGCAAAGAGGTGAGTTAGAAAGGAGACTGCACTCATCACATATTTAGGCAAATAGGACTTTCAGAAAATGATGGGATGCACAACATTCATGTTATCAACTATGATCTGTAGCAACTACGTTTTATCCCTTTATCTGTGAGTCTGGTGCTGTCTTGGTTAAAATTGAAAGAGGTCGAGTCAACTCCATTGGCAGGAGTCGAGAGTCGGAGTCAACTTCAGGTTCACTAACTGCTACTAGCTTAAAAACCACAGTGTAAAGAAGCACCTGTGTTAGATTAAGCTTAGTGGGTAGCAATATTAAACCTAAAAGTGTAATTATGGATTCCTTTTTTGTTGCCAGATACCAGCCATGCACTAGAAAATTACATATTTAATCCAATATTAGGAATAAGTAGATTCATGTTAGTGGATGAATCCACAGTGGCTAAAAGATATACATATAAGGTAAAGGTAGATCTCTAGGAGGAGAGTTGGTGTCACTGTTCCACAGTATGTCCGTGTAAATTGCTTTTGAAAATACTGCCATCTACAGGACAAACAGCAGAATTCCAACTAACCACATGACATCACAAAGAAAAGATAATAAACACAGTCCAGTTATACTAGGCCTTGGGCCGAGCCTTGAAAACATCAATCCCTGGTGAGGAACTACGTTCTTTTTTATATTTGTATCTGAAATATTTTTGTTAACACAGGAAAAGTGTTGGCAATAAAGATGTACACACATTTTCTAAAAATGTAAAGTTTTAATTACAGTATGTACAGACAAAATGCCAGGACAGCTAAACAGAAAGCTCCAAGCAGGGCTCAGCTAGGTTCCATCGAGAGAAAGCAAGCCAGTCAGATCAGCTGTCAGGGTGGATCAAAACCAAAGCCTTAACGTGAATACACAGCAAAACACATTTTACTGCTAAATTCTATTTATTATCCTTCTATTTTCCAAGAACCGCAGAAGGTAGGCTACAGAGGGATTGATATGAATTATAAACTATCGTTATATAATTAATGTCTTCTAAACACATCTGTGACCTGCTTTTCTCATGCTACTCACAATGGCAGCAGCAGTCACAGATAATGACTGCCTATAGAATTTACTAATAAACTGCTTCATGTAGGTTTGTATTCATTTATATGTACATAAAGAGTTACAGTTCCTCTCAGTTGCCTCTTAGGATAAACCCATGTAGCTTGTATTTCCTGAAAACCACATCATGCCATACCTCAGACAGGTTGCATTTCTTACCAACTACACAAGTTTCCTGTGCTCCACATTAGTAACAGTAACTCCATCAATCATTTTTGCATTACTCATTGGTTTAGATGCAAACAAATTCATTCAGGAAGGATTGGTCTGAAATTCTTCATTCTAGAGAAACTGAAAGAATTGTTCATGGTGGTGGTGATAGAAACCATTCATCTGAAAGGTTTAATGCCTCTACAAGCTCCCTCACAGACAGACATTACAAGAAGTAGTTACAAATATCTTGCTTGATGCACACAGATTCACAATGGTTTTGAGAAAAGGTTTTGACCTAAAACCTATTTTTAAAAAGCCATTCATAGCGGAGGGGTACATGCAAGGAGTTGTAAGGCAGATTAGTCCCAAAAGACAACTTATTTTTTTGGTTTTTCCATTATCAGTTTTATCATTATCCACACAACATACAAAACTCAGAAGAAATGTAGGTTAATTTGTGTTGTAAACATGGTGACCCCTGGTTCCTATCAGCACCACTGTAAAGCAGTCTGAGTTGGTAAGTTTCTCTATAATGAAGCTTTTACATCAAACCACTCTGAACTATTGAGTTATATAGAAATTTGACAAAATGGAGTTCCCTTGTAAGTGTAGTATTTTGAAATGATAACACTTTTACTCGTGTTAGTTCTTTTTCAGTCATCCACACTTTGTTCACATTAATTTCTTTCTTCTGGATTTAATTTCCTCCTGTTCTGTTGGTTTAGAACGTGAACGACTTTGCTGTTACTCACAACTCTCAATGTTGTACTTTACTATTTGATTTTAGACCAAAAGGATGATAAAAGTGCAGATTCTATGCTGTTTCTATGGTGACAAATGGTGAAGTTCCACTGCATTTTAATAGGCAACTCAGTACTTGATGAGTCTTTTTGCCCAATACTTTTTTCCTTTTATTTTTCATATTTTTATTAGACATTTTTACTTTGTTTACTCAGTTGAAATAAGAAAACACTTCATCTCTCAGCTCCTCAGATGCTAACATTAAAAGGTACTGCACTGGAAGGAAAGTATTCAGCTCAACATTGTAAGGGTGTTTGTTATATTACTTTACCTTAGGAAATCAGCACCACATATAGGACCCTCGTGGTTGAAAATGTCTTGTGTCCTTTTGCACACAATCATCAGAAACAGGATGTAAGACAGAGACGGACTGTGGTTTTCAGTTAATTTCACCGTCGTCCGCAGCCTCAGGCTACATCAGTAACATCCTGCCTTTTTGGAGTAAGTGCTGCTTACAAATGCACAGAATTTTCTGAATAGGCTACACATATTTTGAGAATGCTTTACTGTAGGTCATGTTCATAAGACTACAGGACATCTCCATAAGCTCGTCATGACAACTGACATGGGACTGCATGAACATTCATAAAGGCTTATTCTAACAGGTGTCGTCTGTCCTAAAAGCTGCTTTTATCGACTTTGATGTCAATGTGACTAAACACTTGTGTCAGATGACTGATCATTTTTGTGACATCATGACACTTTTCTGGGTGAGGTGACAAAGCATGTTAGAACAGCTGACATTGTAGCTCTGTGTACATCACAATGCTGATGATGTGGAATCTTATAAATGAAATGAAAATGAAACCTAGTCACCACAGAAAAGGCTCAACCAACCTGACTTGGCAAGCTGCGCCGTTTTATCAGCATTATGACACATACTGAGCTACAGAGTCAGTGTAATTTCACAGTGTCGTGACCCAACATAATGTCACAAAAAAATCAGTAACACTTTATTTGGATTGTATGGACAGCATCTGAACACATTGAAGTAAATATTTTGAAGATGTGCTGTTGATACTTATTATGTCGATGTGTTTTTAATATGTTCCATTAAGCAAAACCTAACCTCACCCAACATTACCCAAAACCTAACCCTAGCCCTGGCCCTTATCCTCACTCTGACCTTAACCTCAACCCAAAACCTAACCCTAACCCTGGCCCTTATCCTCACTCTGACCTTAACCTCAACCCAAAACCTAACCCTAACCCTGGCCCTTATCCTCACTCTGACCTTAACCTCAACCCAAAACCTAACCCTAACCCTCATATGTTCTTGACATGTTACTGGGGGCTGTTGGACCACTCAAAATAAAGTGTCACCAAAAAATCAACATCACCTGAAGAAGGCTAAGTTTACATTACAAGCCTCATTGCTCAATTACCTTGTTTGCTCAGGTCTGATCTTTCTAACTTCAAGGTTCACATTCGCGTAGATGAGTGACTCAAATCTGCTAGTAATGTCAAAAAACCTGTCCTGAATTGACCTGCATGAACAACAAACTTGCTCTGAACAAGTTTGCTCTTAGCCGTTCGTTATTTGGTGACATGGTAATTATTTTTGTCACGCATCCGTCAAGCTCTCAGAGGAACCCGGACTCCATCTCCCAGAATCCTGTGGGAGATCACATGACTGCAGAGCTTCCCTCACACTCTGAGTCTCACTCAGACTTCATCTTCCAGAATCGTCTGGGGATCAGATGACTCCTGACCTTGTCTCGCACTCCTATCAGCACTCTAGATCTCCAGAATATTGATGTGTGTCACCTGTGTTATTGGTCATATGACTTTCATAGTTTAGTTTAAAAGCCCGGGCTTTAGGAAGAGACAGTTGTGAGGTATTATTTCCACTGTGAATCTACTGAGCGTTTATTCTATCGTTTGTATCCTGTTTTTGACCATTGCTTTGTTATTTTGACTCTGTCTTTTGATCTGCCCTTTGGACTGTTCGCTGGAATTTTCTGATTCGTGTTTTTGACCCTTTTTGCTTGTTTCCACGACTACATCTTTTGCCTGCCCCTTTGTGTTGGTTAGCATTGTGTTATGCTTACCATTGTCTTTTTGCTGTGCCTTTTGGATCTGACCCACGCCTGTTTTTTTGACTAAGATTCTGGACTTTGATTGTGTTAGTAAAAACTGTGTTGTGTTGTCAATCCGCGAGCGTCTGACTTTTGTTGGCATGGTACAATTTTTAGTAAGGCGGGGCCACAAATTATTATTTTGAGAAGTTTCTCATGGCCACAATTTTTTTTTTGTTTAAACAAAGCCCTGACTGTATTAATTTGTGGCCTCAATATATTAATTTGTGGCCACACCTTATTAAAAAATAATCACTATGTCAGCTTAGGGGCTCTGTAATTATTAGAGCAAGGCAAAGGAGAAAAGGTTCAGATGCATTGCTTTTGCATATAACATGCACCAATAAAAGAGGAAAAGAAAAGATACTGCATAAATACAGTTTATTCCTACATTTATCTTCTCAAAGTGTTGTGTGCAGCCCATGGCTAAGTATATTGAGTATCAGGACTCAACATTAACACTGACAAGTTTGTGTGGGACAAGTGGATGACAAATCAGCGGGCTCAGATCCTCAAGTGACTGCCTGGGTACAAATGTTTGTTGGGTACATTTTTTGGGTGGTCAGTGAATTTTTATATCACAGCAGATGATATCACAAGGTCTATGCAACAGCATGATGGCAGTACACTAACCACAGTGTTGGGCATGTCACTGTTATAAGCTCATATTTTTTTCTAATCACACAGATTAATGAGAGCATGTTAACATAAACCCAACAATCAGTGCAACACGTCCTTAAAAACGTGTCCTCTCTTCACAAGCACAACATTTACTCCAATGAAGCAGACAAATTCAAATCAGACAGCTGAAATGTACATAATAAAGATGGAAAAACGCAGCAACAAAACCCGCTGAAAAACCCAAACCGACAAGCATCCTAGCTAAAGCGTACTGCCACAGCGGGTGTGCAAATCACCTGATTTAGCTTAGAAAATCGACTGAACTACTGAACGAGTCAGGGGAGAGACAGAGAGAGGAAGCGTGTGTGTGTGAGAGAGAGAGAGAGAAAGGGATAATAATAAAACTGAATGAGGCTTAGTGACAAGATGACTGTAAAAAAACTAGAAAAAGTGACATCATTTAAATTGAGTGGTGAACATCTCTCTCTCTCTCTTTCTCCCCTGAATCAGAGCAGCTGTAAGAGGATGATAACTGAATTATATTTCTCTCTCGCACCTTTTACATGTTCAGTGTGAGTTGTAACATTTTAATAAACTTATGAAATACAGCAGTCATTTGCAAACGCTACTGACCTTTTTTCTGTGGATTTCATAAATCCACGAAAAAGCCTAATGTGAAGCCCTGACTGTAACATAGAACTCAATTTAAACATGGCCTAAAGAAACTGTTTATTTAACTGTAATATAGCGCACTTGGCTGCAGATTAAACCATAGATATATATATTTAGATGCCACGTTGCCTGTTGTTCTCTATCTGAGGCGATACGTCTGCGCGTCCGCCATGTTGGTGCGGTTAAGGTCCGCTTGTTAAAAAATTTACTTGTATTGAGAGATGACGAGTTCTCATAACGTCCTTATTACTGAACTGATTTTCACCAAATTTGTTTTGTTATAATCCTCAGACATAAATTAATCTAGGCTGCACAGACTGCTCTCAGTAGCTTTCATTTCTTTAATAACTGATTGCGCTAATTAGCCATCCGGACCAGCAGAAAAGAAGTCTGCACCTGATGTTAAAAACTGAGTGTGAGTAAAAACACAAACTCACACACATCAGCAAATCCATCAATGTGTGAATCACTTCTAATCTTAATACACATAAAAATAAAACAAACCCCCAAAACACAGTAAGAAGGACGAAGCTGAAGTCGGCTTCCTATTCGCCAGCTTCTTGTTCGAGTTTTCCCGTTCCACCTTAAATGGCGCAGCAGTCACTTTCTGGTGCCTGAAACTGCACCATTTAAGGTGGAATGGGAACAAGAAGCTGGCGAATAGGAAGCTAACTTAAGGTTCGTGTAAGAAGGTGCCAGCATTAATCTATTATGAATATCTACACGGATTAAGAAATGCTATAATTCACCTAGCTAATAACAATCATTGTAAATATATAACTACTACATCAAGTTAAGATCCAACGAATAGACTTAACTGAAATAATGCAATTAAATGAATATAAAACCAGAGGAAAAACAATCACATCAACAGATTCTCTGTGCCTCATTAACCACACGGTCATATCTACACATAAACATAACACAAACAATACGCTTCACACAAACATGAGCGTGGATCGCTGCGTTCCCTCCGTTATATAATCCTATCACACTTTCTGAGTGCAATATTCTTAAAATACTATCATTTTTGCCGGTATCTTACTTAAATTGTCACTCTGTAATGGTACTGAATGTAGTCCAGCAGCGATGTTGACCGCCCTAAAATGGTGGCGCTGTTGACGGGCCTGACTGGACCCAACATCTAGGTGTGTATATCTATGGATTAAACCATGTTTAAAAAGACACAATAACATTAAGGCACAGACATCAAACTAAAGCACGAAGTCAAAAACGAAAGCAAAGCAAAGTCTTTTCCACAGTCAGATGTGTTTTTGGTGTTTGTGAGTAAGTCTTATCCACTGGCTCTGGCCCGTGTGCACACGTGCACTAGACCAGGGGTGACCATCATAATAGTGAAGAGAGTCCAGCGAACAATGTCATACCACAGCGGCACTCCTGACCACGACCTGAGAAAAACAGACATTTGATCATCTTCTTCGTAATATCATTAACAAACTATACTGTACATTCTTCATTTATCAAAACTGCCGAAACATCTTACAAATGGTAACTTTGTAGAAGACGTAAGAAACATGCTTGAATTGAATGTGTATTAATGTACCATAATTTACATTCATTATAAAATATTCACACAATGTACTGTTTTCAAATAGTGTAAGAATATAAAAAATGAAGAAACTTCATCAAAGTTAATAAAGAGAATTTGATATAACAGTGATCATATACACATTTATAGAGCATTCTTTCTGCAATCGATGTTGGTTTTAACCTGAAGCATTTATGTTATCCAGACTTCCAGTCTTTTATAATTATAATAAATTACAATATATACATATTATATATATATATATATATATATATATATATATATATATATATATACACAATATACATATACTTAGAGCTCAGGACTGCCACTGTGGTGATGGTGGTTGTGATGGGTGATGGTGTAGTTGTCTTACAGCTTTCAAAACCTAAAAAGAGAAGACAACAGCATCATGATGGAACATTTTCAAAATAGTGTTTCAGAAAATGTTTAGTAATTTTGTTTTTGAGTTTCCAGGTAAAACATACATAGAATAACAATCAACAAATATATTGTACAACCCCTTTGTGTGTATATACATACACACATACTTATAAACCCTCCTGACAAAACTCTTCACTTCTTCAATTCCATTCAACTATTGTAGCTGGATTTGTTCTGTTAACTGTAGCCAAAGATAATTCTAATTAAAGGGTCTCTAATAAGCACTGCACCCAGTGTGTAATTGTAAGAGAGTAATGTAGAAGCCAGCACTAAACAATTACTTTTTAGCAGCTGTCAGGCCTTTGTGGTCTAGATGTAAGAGTCTAAGATGTAGTCAATGACAACAAGATAGCTCAGATGTGAAAACCTGGACCAGTATAAGTATGTTTTAATCTCAAAGTCAGTTTTTAATGTTAGGAACAGTAAGGTTTTCAAAAAAAAACAAAAAAAAAAACTATTGTATTTAAAACAAATATTCTACAATCATGTATCAAACAGCTCCTGAATGTTGCTGGCACACTTAGTGGCCACTTTATTAGAAATACCTACTTTCTTGCACCACCTTGGTGGTGTACAGTTACAGATTGTAGCCCATCTGTTAATGCATAATTTGTGGTGGTCCTCCTTCAGCCCTTAATCAGTGGTTCATTTCAGAAAGCTGCTAGCTGGACATTTTGTGTGGTGGACTGAACTAGCAGTGACACTAACACATATAAAAGCTCCAGCAGAACTGCTGTGCCTGATACACTTGTACCAGCTCCACACATGGTATCATGTTACTGCTGTGTTGAGAATGGACTTACCCAAGTAATATCTGGTCAACAGTGACACTAACATAGTAGTATGTGTGGAGCTGATACACTTGTACTATAGAGGGTAGCTGACAGATGGCATGTCAACAGATGGATCTTTTATTTACTGTATATACACCTTTATAGTGTAAAAGTTTAAATCATCGTTTACATGACAAATGAAAATGCAAAGAAATGCAATCATTCCAAGGTTCAAGACTGTAAGAATTCTTTGACATAAAAATCAAAGTGTGACAGACTGCTGAGAATATTAAACGGCAAGACTACACTCTTTTTATGTTAATCCTGAATATATAGCCAATGTAAAGCTAGCTGAGGCATAATCCTGCACATTTTCACTTCCCAGCTCTTGTTAACATGCATTATTTTACATTTTGACTGAGCTGTTGATTATTGGTGGGCTTTTGAGGTAAATACCAGATGTGGCACTTTTCAGCCCTACTTTCATTTTTCCAGTAATGGTCACATAGCTTTGAGAGCCTCTGACATTGTCTGATCCCATATGCTATGCAGGGAAAAAGCTGTTAGCAGGTCTGATTATACTGGTTTTGATGGCGCTGAATCTTCTAGCAGGGGGAAGTGGCTGGAAGAGGTGATGTCCAGGATGAGAGGGGTCAGCTGTAATTTTGCTAGCACACTTCATCACCCTGCTGTAGATGTCCTGAAGTGTTGGTAGACTACATCCTTCGATTCTCTCCACATACTCCGTGCGCTGGAATATGGTTTGTTCTTGTGAGGTGGAAAAACAACATCAGATGGTTATGGATGACGTTCTTCAGTTGTCTCAGGAAGAACATTCTCTACTGTGGTGTCTTGGAGACCTTTTTGCACTTCCACTTCAAGTTCCTGGATATGATTGTTCCCAGGAACTTGATTGACTCTACAGTGGAAACCACAGATCATCACTGATGTTAAGGGAGGGATAGATTGTGCCTGAAGTCCACCATCTCTGCAGTCTTTTATGAGTTCAGCAGCAGGTGGTTGCTGCTGCTTGACCACCATGATCCACCAAACATGAGGATCTTCACAGCTGGTTCCTTGAAGAGTCGTTGGTATAGAGACTGAAGAGAAGAGGTGAAAGCACACAACCTTGTGGAAATCTGCAATCCACCGGCAGAAGGGATCTGGCACAGACAGCTAGGACAGTCTGATCTGCAGCAGCTCTGGCACTATGGCGCTGAATTCCACAAACAGAAATCTAGCATAGATTCCAGGCCTATTGAGATGCTGTAGCATGAAGCGCATCATCAACAAACTTATAAGCTCTGTATGCACACTGCAGAGGATCCAGCAGAGGGTTTGTAATGGTCTTCAGGTGGGCTAGGATCAGGTGTTCAAAGACCTATGTGACTACAGAGGTCAGGGTTACTGGCCTGTAGTTATTTAGCCCTGTAATGTTCATTAATGCTCCAGTGATTTGTTTGTGAGAATCGGTGCTACTGGACCTGAGCAGTGCTTTAGGGCAGACGGAGAGACTAAGTTCATAAGTCTTAGAGCTTTTCTCACCACTTGTCCACTGTTGACATCCTGCATATTGATAATGAGATGAGCAGGGGGTACAGGTGAGAGTGCCAGGGGGATGAGCAGGAGAGCAATACTAAAAATTGTCATTTGCACATTCAAATCTGCAGGAAAACTCATTCAAGTCATTAGTGAGTTGGTAGTCATTCAGTGGAAGGGGGATTTTTCTCACCTTGTAGCTGGTGATATATTGAAGGCCTTTCCAATCTGAAGCTGGGTTTTAGTAGCAATGTGGCTTTTCAGCTGTTCTGAGTATTTTTTCTTTGCTGCTTTAATGCCTTTCTCCAGCTTGTATTTGGCCTCTTTATAGAGAATTCTGCCCCCACTCCTGAATGCTGCCATTGTTTATCACTGCTGTATTTCACCTGTGTGTAGTTGAAATGCAGCTGTCCTCACAGAAAGTGATGTATAATGTCCTGGTGTCATATTGGTCTAGGTGTATATCTTACCTGTCACCTCCTCAAAAACTGTCCATTTTGTGGATTCAAAGCAGCCCGTAGCTTTTCAATTTCTCTGCTGGTCCACCTGTTCACTGTTGTGACGACAGGTATGTTGGGATGAGGTGAATGACACTGCCTTTTGAGTTCTGCCTTTTCTTGCTGCGCGATCAATAAATAGCACTTCTTGCAGCAGATCATGGCTACCCTGTGTTTCTAATTCTACTGATACCACACTAGTGTCAGAAGTGGAATAGTACCCCTCAGTAGGCTGAAGGAGAATGAGGCAAGTCAGAACTTGAAGGCAGACGGCAAGAAGTATAGCCTGCCAATAGATCGTAATGACGGTGACGAAATAGGATGTCATGCTGGTCGACGCCGTACGCCTGGGCTGGCAGGTAGACAGACGTTGGCGAAAAGGTTCAGTGGCAGCCACGAGTGGTGGTTCAAGTGCAGTGTGGACTACAGATGCCTCTTTGCGTAAGCTACCACAACCTTGTCGATAACTTTACTGCGATCAGCATGCTCATGCACTGAGTGGGCACATCACACAACTGGAAGACGACCATTGCCCGGCTCTGGTCAGTCACCAGTGGCGGAGACATAGCCCCAGAGTGCATGAGCAGCATTCAAGACAGCGAGGTTGGCGCAGTGGGTGGCAGTGAGAGTGGAAGGGCCGGTATGAGCACTACCGTTGCTGCCCCCCCTTGCTGTGCTGGACTTGACACAGCACACTGTGGTAAGCTCTAGATAAAACCTAACCCATTATAAGCTCTATTAAAGACATGCCCAAACCAGAGCTGGACAGCTCTGTCAGTAAAGCAGCTTCTTTTGAAAGGTCTGTGGTTTGTTTACGTTTTGACCTGACACGCACTTGACCTTTCCAGTGTAGACGTCCTGCAGGCCTTGGAATGCAATGCAATACTACGTTTCAAATCATGATGCTCTCCACGTCTTTCTTAAACATCAGTTTATTTTTCTCCCCAGTCACTGTTTAAAAACCATTACACTATCCTTCATTATCTTGATCAGAGTCGGCAACGGCTGTCCACCATTCCACATCTTCTCCATCAATGGTAAATTTAGCGGCCTTTCCTGTTGTCATAACATTAGTCTTCTTCATATTGAGCTGAAGTCCCTTCTTTAACACTCTGATCTTTGAACTTTCTTAAAAGGCCCTTCAGGTCTTCCACATTTTCTATTATGAGTGCATATGAAAGGTTAACGATGTTTCTTCCACTAGTCCTGAGTCCTCAGTTTTCCTCCAGTCCTGCTTTAATGCTTAGAAATCATACTTCTTACCAGCAGTAACAAAAGCATGCTGAAATAATAAATAAAACTAGAAAGGGAAAGTTTGTGAACGAACTTTAAGTTGGCTTGAAAAAGCCAGTTAATTACGTTAAAACGTTAAAATATTTGAAAACTGTTGATAGTTGTTAAAATGTTGCCAAAATGTTGCTAAGCAGAAACTGAAGTATCTGTCGGGGATGGTAATTCGTTGCAAGGTGCTACTGTGAATCAAGTTAAACCTTAAATTTAGTGCTACGTTAAACTAAGTTACACCTTAAATTCTGTGCTGCCTTAGATTTAGTGCTATGTTAATTGCAGTTCCTTCTTGAATTCAGTGCCACCTTAAAAAACGTTCCACCTTAAATTCTGTGCCACCTTAATTTTAGTGCTACCTTAAAGAGAGTTCCACCTTAAACTCTGTGCAACCTTAAATTTAGTGCTATGGTAATTGCAGTTACACCTTAAATTCTGTGCCACCTTAAATAAAGTTCCTCCTCAAATTCTGTGCTAGCTTAATTTACTGCTATGTAAATTGCAGTTCCACCTTAAATTTAGTGCCACCTTAAGAAGAGTTCCACCTTAAATTTAGTGCTATGTTAATTGAAGTTCCACCGTAAATTCTGTGCCACCTTAATTTCAGTGCTACCTTAAAGACAGTTCCAACATAAATTCTGTGCCACCTTAAAAGAAGTTCCACCTTAAATTCTGTGCCACCTTAAATTTAGTGCTATGTTAATTCCAGTTCCACCTTAAATGCTGTGCCACCTTAAATTTGGTACTATGTTAATTCCAGTTCCACCTTTAATTCTGTGCCACCTTAAATTTAGTGCTATGGTAATTGCAGTTCCACCTTAAATTCTGTGCCATTATAAATTTAGTGATATTTTAATTCTGTGCCATGTTGAATTTATTGCTATGTTAATTGAAGTTCCACCTTAAATTTAATGCTATGTAATGGTAATTCCAACTTAAATTGTGTTCCACCTTAAATTTAGTGATATGTCAATAGCAGTTCCACCTTAAATGTAATGCTGTGGAATGATAATTCCACCTTAATTTCTATTCCAACTAAAATATAGTGATTGTTAAATGCAGTTCCACTTTAATTTCAGTGTCAGTGTAAACTCAGTGCTACCTTAAAAGACGTTCCACCTTAAAATTCAGTGCTCCTAAGTGCAATTCCACCTTAAAAGCAGTTCCACCTTAAAAAATCATTATGTGTGCTGATACTGCTGAGCATTAGGCTGAGAGCATGTGAGACTAAGCGCTCCGTGCGTGAGTTTGTATGTGTGTGTGAGAGAGGTGGCCATTGTGACATCATGTTTGGCATGCTGCCAACATTCCGCCCATTCATTCCCTATGGGAAAAAATATCGGCTTTGAACGTTAATTTTCCAGAAACCGTACGTCGGATCGGTCCAAAAAGCACAAGCGCACTATTCCCGTATATGAGGAACGTTTGTGCAAAATTTGGTGGTTGTTGGTCAAAAACTGCGGGCCGTGAAAAATTTGAGCGTAGAATAATAATAAGAAGAAGATTACGAAGAACAGTAAGTTGGCTTTTTCAAGCCAACTTAATAATTCTCACTCATAACTAAAGCAAGCATACAAATCCTGTCAAATCTTTGGATTCTGTAGAATATTTGTGTTTGTAAGTAGAGGTTATATATATATTAATTATGTCATGTAACTGGAATGGATTGTAAAACCTCAATAATAACTCTAGACTTTTGAGGATTAAAGGCTGAAAGTGAAGATGCTAGTGTAAGAGTTGGATTGTGGTAGCGTACTTGGAACATGAGAAAGGGTCAAGACTCCATCTGGAATCGCAAACACCAGGCCTTTAGCGTTGATGGCTTCACAGGTGTACGCCCCCTGATCTCCCTCCTTCACATTCCGGATGGTCAACGTCCCCTGGCCATTCTCGCTGGTCATCGAGATCCTACAAGAGAGAGGCACTGTTTTGGATCTGCTCGCATGGCTCAGTTTGTCCAACCACATCTTTTCTGGAATAAAACTGCCATTTCTCAGTGGCTGGAAATTGGACTGATTGTTTATTTGGATTGCAGAAGAGCAGAAACACTGAAGGATTTTTTTTCCTCTCTGCATTTTTTCAATCACGCAACACAGACAAGGAATGTGGAAAATAAAGAGCTGCGAATGGAGGTTAGGAGTGTGTCAGAAATCCTTAAGGCTTTGAGTTATTATAAACAAGGTGAGGACATTTTAGAGAACAAATAAAGCAGGGCTGTTAATAAATAATCAGCCCAAAGCAGCAGGCCAAGAGCGTTTCCTTTTTTTGGGATGAAGTGATGGGACAACTCCAGAGCACTCCTGCCCAAAAATCTTCACTGTCTGGTTCTAATTGTACAGATGCTTCAGTTAAACCATGCCAAATGCTGAATGCTCTCTCCAGATTTCATTTAGACCCACGTGGTGTTTATTACTCATACAGAGAGATGAGCAAAGGGCTGTCAGAGCAGAGTCATGTAACAAAATGACCATGCATCCATGTCCTCACAGTTTCACTGTTAGCTGTACTTTTAAAGAAACAGTTCAACAAAAAATACAATTTACACGCAACGTTCATTAACTTTTTGCCCAACTTGTTCAGTCAGGGACATGGACTGAAAGTCTACTGTGATAAACAGAGTTCATACTGTTCCTAATAAATTTTAGCTTGTAAAGATATTTTGTAAATATAAATAAATACATACAACATCTCTTTAAGGCTATTTATTTATTCTAAAAGTATGTGCCATAACTTTTGTACAGATCACCTTTCATGTTTTATTTTTTTGTGTTAAATTCAGCAAATACACAATAACTGTTCATCAAAATGTGCAGAGGTGAGGTCTCTGTAGAAAATATATTAACTTATTAGTCAGCAAAAACATAACATACAGCTGTGTAAGTATATATCCCATGAAGAAATACAATTTTTTACTCACTTCATTGAATTCACTGACAACATGAATGAACAGCTAGATTTAACCTCAGATGCTGGATTTAATGCTAAATGATCGAACAGTTGTGGTTCAACATCTTCCAAATGTAACTCAGTTTCTCTACAGTTCAAAATAAAAACTACTTTTGAGTATGCATTTAAAGAAATGTTTTTTAAAATGTATGTTTTGGAAGTAAATCTTCAGGACTGAACCATAAGGTTTTAGATCAGGGCTGCCCAAAATGGGCCTGCATGCCAAAGTTGGCCCATGAGGGCGCTTGATTTGGCCTGCCAGAAACAGACTGTTCACAGCTTGCATTAACATGTGTTTCATGTGCGGATCATATCTGGATAAACTTCGGCCGGATTCCATTTGCACTCTTCCCTAAAGTGCATCCCTCATAAAAAGCATGTCAGCACATACATTGTTTCCGTTTTACTTTTGCTCGCTCATGTAATTGTATACGAATAGCGAAAGCGCATTCCGTTTACACTTATGTGACATGTTAAATGCGTCAGGATCCGTCTCTGACTACCTTCATCAGTGTTTGACTGATCTGACTGTAATCCATTCACAGGGCACCCTGAGGGTATCTACATCTGTTTTTTATGCAGAACATGATCCGATCACCAAAAACATATTAATACAAGGTGTATACAGGCCTAGTTACCCTAACCCCATCACCTTTACCTACCGTGTGATGGGATTACCTAAATAGAGAGAAGCAGAAAATGCAACCAACTTCCAACACTGAACTTTGAAAGTGTGGAAAAATATTTTTTTACTTAAAAAAAAATTGAAACTACTTACATTATTTATTTGTATAATATTTTGTCTTTTTGTTCAGTTCAGGTTGCGCACCCCTGTCTTAGATCATGGAATGGTAGACTGGTACTGTATATCACAATGAAGTAGGGGTGGGAATCTCTAGGCACCTCACGATTCGATTACGATTCAGAGGGCTGCGATGCGATTATAAAACGATTATCGATGCATCTCGATGCATCTTTTTTTTTCTGTACAGCATTTCTATTTTCTCACTGTGTGAGCTCAAGTTTCGAGTTCAAGTTTCAAGTTTATTTGTCATTTGCACAACATGTCAGGACATTTATGCATTGAAATGCTTGTGGTGAGGCTCAGCTAATCACTCTACAGAAAATAAGTAAATAAGTAAAAATAAAAATACAAGAAAAAACAACTGAAATATATTAAATATACACAAAATATACACAGAATATACACAGAATATAGAGACCATATACATTTTAAAGTGACTAAGTGACTCAGTTTTGTTATTTAAAGTGACTTGGTACTTTTAAAGCAAAGTATTTGTAATGATCAATAATGAATTTACTTCCAATATCTCTTATTAATAAATCAAATGGGAGTGATGTGGCAAGTGAACTGGAAGGCTCTCATTCACTGCTTTTGTTTAGAGCACGAGATGCTGCTTCCACTCATCTGTGATAAAATGCACAGTAACAGTGACAAAAGATCCACTGACAGTGGATGTCCACGCAGACAGGGATGTGCGCAACATAGAGCGAAAGCCCTGTTTCGCAACGACTGAGAATTGCTGTGCAGACTGCAGGTCACATAGCAGCAATACGTTATTCACATTTATAAGCAGCGCAGTTGGTTTCCTGGTACGTTAAATCTGCAACGAGAGACTGTCAAACACTAAATAGTTGCGAAGATGAAGTCGATTCTCTTTCGAATTTTCCCATTCCACCTTGAATTGTGTCGCATTTACATTCGGCACCTCAGTCAGAATTTAAGGTGGAACGGGTAAATTTGAACAAGAAGCTGCAGATTAAGAAGCGACTTCAGCCTCGTAAAACAATCGAACACTGAGAGATATTTTGCTCTAGTTGCTCTAGTTTTGAATAAACGTTTCCTGTCGGAAAGGGGAGGAAAGCGGCTATAGCTTAAAGCAGAGCAAAGTAAGTGCGCTCTCGTTTATATTGTTTAGCCTAAACTAGGAAATTATCACATACTGACACATACTGGACATTAAATAAATGTTGCGGCTCCCAAGGTGGTTTGATTTTTGTTGAAAGGACAAAATGGCTCTTCTTATCATTTGGGTTGTGACTCCTGACCCAAGCTGGCTTTTAATGCAGAGGGAGCCGGTCGGATTTCTCGCTCATCCAGTTGTGTTTTTGTTATGTGCCGCCACAGACTGTCCGGGCGCTACAATTCCGCACTTCCAAGTTCCGCCTTTTGCGTCCCGTCAACATTACTTTATAAATTAAATATTTAGAAAATCGATTTTTGACATTTGTGAATCGATTCAGAATCGTTCACGTCCGCATCACAATGCATCTAAGAATCGATTTTTTTCCGCACCCCTACAATGAAGTCAAACAGAACTAGAAAGTCATTCTGTCTTCCATGTGGGTCAGACAGGGCAAGGTCATCTAACAGTGTACCTGCTACTGACTGGAATGTGTCCCCATTTAAGCCTCCAAGTAATGATGGGGGTGGGCACGCCAACAGCTGTACAAGTGAAGTTCACCGTCTGCCCCCGCACTGCCGTAACAGACTCTTCTGGGGGGCTGGTCACAGTGGGAGGGGCTTAAAGATAATGAGAAGAACAATCAATACTTTTCCCATGAGCAGCTGCCCAGCACACTCACAACCACAAATACACACTCTGGAAACACTTTACAATACAGTTTGACAGGATGAATAAGGTTTCTGATCAAAGCAAACACAGAAGGGACACCTGTCAGTGCAGTGTGGTGTGATGCCTCCCGCTATCTCTTGAGGATACCTGTATTTTATATTGTAGAGACTGCACACTATGTAGTGTATGTCAATCTTCCTCCAATACTTCTAAAAGTATTGGAGTACACTACAGCAGTTCACCCGGAGCCTTGTAAGATTCAGCTATTGAGCAATTAATGTTGAATTGATCAGTAATTTATAAGTAATTACTCTAAGAAACCATAGTTACTAAGTAATTCTCAAAGAGACTGGCTTGTTATTGTTTAGTTAATAGTGAACTACCCTAATCATTAGTAGTAGTTAACTAGTAGTCGTTGGCAGTTAAGAGTAGTTACTTATGTGTTGCAGCACTACTTATTCATCTCTTCTTAGTTCCTGATTAATTACTTGTTAACTATCAAACATTATTGTAAAGTGTTACCTACACTCTCTCACTGTCTCTCCCACACACACACACACACACACACAAACTCAAAGGCCTATACCCACTCAGACTCAGAGCTCCTCTTGATCCCAAACCGGTGGTGTGTGACAGATATATTTGGCTATTGTATTCTTTGAGATTACAGCATCTACCGGTAAGTGGTGACTTAAGGCCAGTGCCTTACCACAGCCGTACTCATCTGAGCGGTCAGCACAGTCAGGCTCCTCGTCACACTGGTAGCTGGCAGGAATGCAAGCACGGTCACTCAGACACAAAAACTGCTCTGGAGCACACGCGTCCCCGGGCCTTTTAGAAGCTACAAACAGATAAAGAATTTTTACTACACATCAGCAAATACACAGATCAGCCAAAACATCATGAAAAACAAAAACATCACACCTCTGTGTGCTGCCAAAACAGCTCTGACCTGCCAAGGCATGAACTCTACAAGACCTTGTAGGTGCCCTGCCATATCTGGCACTAAGATCCTTTAGATCCAGTAAGTTGCAAGGTGGACCCGCCAGGGATAAGACTTTTTGTTTCAACACATCCCACAGATCCTCTATCGGATTAAGATCTGGGGAATTTAGAAGCCAGGACAACACCTTGAACTCCTCATCATGTTTCACAAACCATTCCTGAATAATGTGTGCAGTGTGGTAGTGCACATTATCCTGCTGGAAGAGGCCACTGTCATAGGGGAACACCTTCACCATGAAGGGGGGGTGTACCTGGTCCTTAACGATATTTAGGAAGGTAGTACGGGTCAAACCGACATCCACATAAATGCCTGGACCCAGGGTATCCCAGCAGAACGTTGCTCCGATGCATCCTGGTGCCATCACTTCCCCAAGTAAACAGTGCACATGTACTCAGTCGTCCATGTGATATAAAAGAAAACAGGACTCATCAGACCAGGAGGACTTTCTTCCATTGCTCCAAGGTTCAGTTTCAGTAGTGGACAGGGGTTAGCATGGGCATGCTGATCAGTCTGCAGCTATGCAGCCTATCGCAATTCAAGTTCTTCTGTTGGTTCAGACCAGGAAGGACAGTCTTTGTTGCCCTTGTGCATTAATGAGCCTTGGGCGCCCAACATCTTGTCACCGATTCATGGTTTATCTCCCTCCGACCACTGTCGGTAGGCACACATAACTGCTGACCAGGAGCACTCCACAAGCCTTGCCATTCTGGAGATGCACTGACCCAGTCATCTGACCATAATAATTTGGCCCTTCTAAAAGTTGCTCAGGTCTTCATGCATGCCCATTTCATGCACTGACTGTTTGCTTAGAGGCTAATATATCCCAGACCTTGACATGCTCTGTTGTTAAGAAGTATTTCAACGCTATCTCCTTTATCTGTGAGTGGTCAAAATGTTTTGGCTCCTCAGTGTACAATAACCAGGACTGCCAAATCTTACTGGTCAAAACTGTAAAAAGACATCAAGTCAAGTCAAGAGGCTTTTATTGTCATTCCATCTATGTACAAGTACACAGTGGAGTGAAATTACATTCCTCCAGGAACAACAAGGTGCAACATGGAACAAAAAAGACAGTGCACACGTAAGTGTGCAAACATTAAACTAGAAACAAGACAATAAATATGATAAAACAGACATTGGACAAAGTAAACAGACAGGACAGTGCAGTGCCAACACAGCACTCATTTCTGGACATGAGGTAGTGGAATAAGGTGCAAAGAATATTTAACATGCTGTTATCTGTGAGTATATGCAGAATAAACAAAGTGTACACACAGTCTTAGCAGCAATGTTCCACATAGTGCAAGTAGAGCATCAAAAGAGGAGTGTGGCTGTGTGTGTGTGTGTGTGTGTGTGTGTGTGTGAGTGTAGAGTATGTGTGTGAGGGGGTACCTTCTGCCAGACGGCAGCAGTGAGAAAAGTCAGTGTGAGGGATGGATGGGGTTGTCCACTATGCTGGTGGCTTTGCGGATGCAGTATTTGGTGTAGATGTCCATGATGGAGGGGAGAGAGACCCCGATGATTCTCAGCTGTCTTCACTATACGCTGTAGGGTCTTGCAGTCGGAGACAGTGCAATTCTCCAACCAGGCAATGATGTAGCCGCTCAAGATGCTCTCCAAGTCCACCTGTAGAACATGGCGAGAATGGGAGGGGGGAGATGAGCTTGCTTCGTTCTCCGCAGGAAATAGAAGCTTGGCTATGGAGTTGGTGTTGAGGGACCAGTTGAGGTTCTCTGTGATGTGGACACTGAGGAACTTGGTGCTCCTGATGATTTCCACAGCAGAGCCAGTGATGTTCAGTGGGGGGTGGTCACCTTGCACTCTTCTGAAGTCAACAACCATCTCCTTAGTTTTGTCCACATTCAGAGGCAAGTTGTTGGTTCCGCACCAGTCTGTTAGCTGCTGCACCTTCTCTCTGTATGCTGACTCATTATTCTTGCTGATCAGACCCACCACAGTCGTGTCATCAGCAACCTTGATGATGTGGTTTGAGCTGTACTTTGCAGTACAGTTGTGAGTCAGCAGAGTGAACAGCAGTGGACTAAGCACACAGCCCTGACGGTTGTGGAGCCCAGTATGGTGGTGCTGGAGATGTTATTACTGATCCTGACTAACTGAGGTATCTCAGTTAGAAAATCCAGGACCCATTTACAGAGGGAGGTGTTCAGGCCCAGCAGGCTCAGTTTCCCAATCAGCTGCTGAGGGATGATGGTGTTGAATGCTGAACTGAAGTCTATGAACAGCATTCCACAATGTGGATTGAAGACATTAGAGAGACAAAAACAAACAGACACAAAGGGCTAAATCCACAATGTGGACTCAAGTGTCTTTTGGACACATGCAACTCAATAATTTATACATGTATATTCACTCAGATGATTAACCAGTTTATTCAAAAGGCAAAATTTGATCTGTCTGGACTGAAAATCTTTGCAGACACTGCAAATGTAGTTGTTTCCACAAACTTTTTCCATGAGCAAAACAAATTTAGGTGTTTCAGAGGACACTACTGAAGGACTAAATCACAAAGGGCTGCGTAACTCTTTACAAAGTGATCAGTCTAAAACTAGTGATCGAAAAAAATAAAGGCAGTCTAACTCACGGCAATCCATCTCGTCAGAGTTGTCTTGGCAGTCGTTGTCTCCATCGCAGCGCCAGAGTTTCAAGGCGCAGCGGCCGTTCTGGCACTTAAACTCATTGGGCTCGCAGAGGAAAGGAGTTCCTGAGGAATAAGATAAATACTCACAATATCTGAGCTGATATATGAACTGTACCCTAATCAAACCATAACAAATCTGAGATTATGCTGAAGCAATGACATTATAAAGTATTTTGTCCCACAAAAAAATGGACACATTGCAGTTTCTTTTCCACTGTGTAGTTTGCACTGTGAAAAAGAATGATTGGTCTATATGTATTTGATTGAAAAGCCTTGTTTAGGTGGGATTTACATGGTGTCCTGGGGTACTTCCTTATTTATAGGCGCTCCACAGTGATTTATTACCATCTGGATCAGCCATGTTGAGAAAATTACAGGCTGAATTACTCAGTGTTTCTCACCAAACACCAGATACACATTTCTGTAGTCACAGTCACCTTACATTGGGAAAAAGAATTTGATGGTTGCTATTTGCCCTATTTGGTCTCCTTGTGTGCATATCGGTGACTCTGCCGCAGATATGAAACATTTTCCAAATTGTAAAAAGAAACATGGATGCTTTAGAAGAAAGACTGAACCATTTCTTGGACTGAGTGGCGAGTGGTAAAATGGGGTTAAATTATATTCATATATGCACAATATAATCAATAGCAACACTTTATAATAATGACAGTTTATAAGACATTTTTTAGCTGTTAATTCATTGTTGATTAATCATGAACTAATGAGATATTTAGAGTAATTCTTCATTAATTAATATGTTAACATTACTGTGTAAGACACATATAAGCCTTAAGTTTACAAATGACAAGGTTATTTTTGCAGCTTCTAATATAAAGTGAAGTCACAGTGTCCTGTTCCTGGTTACACCCTCTCCTGTCTCCTCTCATGTAGCTCCTCATTACTGTTTCCACCTGTGTGCAGTTTGTTTTCTCTCCTTTCTCAGGTCATTTCTATTCTTATTTATGGTGTACGTAGCTCTCTTGTTTGCCTTGAGCTTAATAAAACTGATCAACTCACACTCTACATTTTTAACAAAGGTCTGGTCTTGAGTCAAGGCAGGATGGACAGGAGCATTTATTGAGGCTGACTAGGGCCTAATATTTCCTATTCTAATATAAAGAAGTTTGTAAATGATCTCTGGGAATCTGCTGGAAGTTTTTAACAATAATTTTTAAAAAATTTAAAAATCTGTCTTGCATTGTGTATTTTCAGCTGTTTTAAAAGGAAACATGAAATGCGCAGCTGAAGTTTTTTTTCCACATTGTAACGGTACAATGCCATGCTATTCTGTAGCTAACTGGGCCTAACATGACTTGCCCATCCATGTGGAGGCAGTGGAGACCATAAGATTTGTTAAAAGAGACATTTTACAGCTTTTCTTGGAATTTAACATAGTTGTGTATGCTCTGTGAATGACAACTGTAAAGAGGACAAAAAGAAAATTCTTAATTCAGCCCTTTGTATAAGTTGTATCATCTTTGAAGAAAAAGTTGATTTCTGGGTTTTGGTTGTATGCTATTGACCACTACTCTTATTGGCTGTCTCAGTGGAGGGGAGAAGTAAGGGATATGGTCATTGAGAATGGTGGTGATAAACTCAGCCTGTGACCATACGTATTCTCGGCGTCTAACAATGCATCGAAACATGATACCATGATGCAAAAATGGGTCGATGTGCATTGTGGACGATGGACATGCTATTAATTATAATATACAAATTATGTAAGTGTATTGTTTGAACACTAAAGTTGGCAAACTACCAGCACCAATCAACACTTCCCTCCAGCACTCCTCCTGCCTCCCAGCTCTAGCGTCGTTAGCAGATTATGAAACATCGTGGATACAGTCATCACTTTTCTTTATTCAAATCTGGCACAAAATATCATGAAAATATTGAATTGTGAACCCAATACTGCGAATGGAATCAAACTGAATCGAATCCTGAGTGTATGGTAACACTTCTAAGATGTGTTCCCAACCATTTTTGTTGATATTAATTTGATGTGAAATAATTGGAAATGTAGACAAATTACTCAACTAATACTGTAAAAATAATCTCTAAATCATACACCTTAAAAACTCATTGTAGATGAACAAAAATGAACAAAAAGGGGCAAAAGGAATAATTGTTCAGGTACCATAAATTGATAAGTACTTTGTTGTTACACTGTTGCTGTGAAGTACTGTTTTGAATGATCTATGGTAAGAAGTAAGTAGATTTTTTGCAACACTGAGATTCAGTTTTGGCCCATTACTCCCAGCAAACCATCTTTAATTCCCCTTTCCCATCTTCTCCTCTTTCTTGGCTAAATACTCCTCTAATATGAAGAACTTGTACGTTTGCCCAGCTGAAGACTTGTAAAACAGAAGAATGGCTGAAAAATTTTGCCTTCAAAACTGGATCAATTGGTGTCTTCAGTCTCCAAACAATTATTAGGTGTTGTTAAAAGGAAAGGTGATATAACACAAGCTCCTGTTCCAACTTTTTTGGAACATTTGGTAGGCATCAAATTTGGAGTGAGAGTATATTTACAAAAAAAAACAATTAAGTTTATTAGGTAAAACATCAAATATTGTTTTTTTGTACTATTTTTAATTAAATGCTTGTCACACTGAATCACTGCTTTCTGTTTGTTAGTATTTCACAAACTGTACCAACTTTTTTGAAATTGGGGTTATACAATGTTAATAAAAAGTTAA